TCATAAAAGAAAATTGGTAAGTTATACTTTATCAAGAATGTTTGTTTACCAAAAGACACAATTAAGAAAATGCATAGGCAGGCCACATAAGAGGAAAAATTTGCAAAATATATTTCAGACAAAGGATAGGTATCCAGAAGATACAACTCAGAAGATATACTTTCTAGAAATCAACTAGAAAAAGATAATCTAATAAAAAATTTGACAAAAGTTATGAGCAGACATAAGTTCTACAAATGCACTTGATATGCACATAAAAAGGAGTATTATTAGCCATCAGGAAATGAAAATTAAACTATACGCCACATACCCACCAGAATAGCTAAAGTTAATAGGCTGAGAAAACCCAGTGTTAGTGAGGCTATGGAGCAAGCATAAATCTTCCACATTGTGGGTTGGGAGTGCAAAATGATCCTGTCATCCTGGGGAAAGTGTGTTAAATTTTCTTGTGTAAGTGTTTTTGTGGTTATAGTCTTTCGTTTCTCTTGGGTAAATACCTAGGCATGGAACCACAGGTATCTGATAAGCAATTCTAGTCCTAGATGTTTACCCAAGAGAAATGGAAGACTACATCCACAAAAAGTCTTACACATACAAGAATGTTCATGGATAGCAGTTTCATTCATAATAACCAAAACATGAAAACAGTCCAGATGCCCATCAACAGAAAAATGGGTAAACAAACTTAAATCAGCACAGTGTTACATATTCCTACTCAGTAATAAAAAGTTAACATACTACTGGATGAATTTTAAAAGTGCTCTGCAGAGTGAGAGATTGACAAAATACAACTTTTCAATTAATGCATTATGAAGTTCTGAGGTATAAAAAAAAGTTAGAACTCTGGCTGCCTCTGGGAGGAGGGGAAGGTACTGATTAGGAAGAGCCATGAGAGAACCTTTCTCTGGTGATATATCTTGATAAGGGGTTGGCTCACACAGGTGTGTGCAATTATCAAAACAATATTACATTTTAGATTTGGGCATATTATTAAGTGTAAGCTTTACCTCAAGAGGAAAAATGTTAAAAGATGTGATTTTTTAAAAGCATTTTTTTCTTAAAAATTGTATTTATTTACTTCTCAGAAAGAGGGGAAAGGAGGGGAAAAGAAAGGGAAAGAAAGGTCAGTGTGCAAGAGATAAATCAATTGGTTGCATCTCGCAAGCTTCCAACTAGGGAACCTGGCCTGCAGCACAGGCATATGCCCTAACTGGGAATCAAACTTGCAACCTTTTGGTTTGCAGGCCAGCACACAATCCACTACAGCACACAAGCCAGGGCTAAAAGATGTGATTTTAGTGCAGGTGAACTGAAGGCCACACTTTGAAAACCATTGGATTTGACTAATTTCAGAAATAATCTTTTCTTACCATGAAAAATAATTTCATAGATTACTAACGTAACATTTTGAAGTTATTTTTTAAAAGATTCTATTTATTTATATTTAGACAGAGGGGAAGGGAGGGAAGAAGAGAAGGAGAGAAACATCAGTGTGTGATTGCCTCTCCTGTGCCCCCTATTGGGGACCTGGCCTGCAACTCAAGTGCCCTGAATGGGAATTGAACCAGTGACCTTTTGGTTCTCAGGCTGGTGAACTCTCTGGAGAGTGACACTTTTGCAGTTTCTTTTACACATTTGGAATTAAGATGGAAATATCACAAGATTACAGGAAGGTGAAACAAAGCAAAGCAGGGAAATCTCTGATTGGGTTACTGTAGAGTTAGATTACGTGTTCCCTTAAGGGGGGTTACTCTTCAAAGGAGTCTGGAAAAGAGAATTACTCCTGGAATTTCAAAGGTTTATTAACCTAGATTCACAAGAACAATGGACAGGGCTTGCTTTAGGCAAAGATAAACCTACTGTAGGCCCAGGGTTTGACCAGGTACTTGACCTATCCTGTAGGGCATTTATAATCAGATCACCCTTTGCAGATTCGTTTACTTAGATTGAGTACAGAGCTTCTTCTTGTCCACAGCACTTTAAATATTTTTAAAGCAGGGGAGTCAAACTCATTTTCACCGGGGACCACTTCAGCCTCACAGTTGCCTTCAAAGGACCAAATTTAACTTTAGGACTGTATAAATGTAACTACTCCGTAACAGTTAAGTGAGAGCTTGGCACTGCCACTGGGTAAAAACAAGGTGCTGGGCTGGATTAAACAGGTGGAGGGCTGGATTTGGCCTTCGGGCTTTGTGTTTGCCAGCTGTATTTTAAAGGGTATATTTGTATATAGTTACATAGATATTGTATGAAAAGTGTCAGTTTGTTATTAGAAGATTAATTAATAAGTGAGTGGACAAAGATCTGTGACAATATTATATAGTTACTTATTCCAGTAAATGTCTTCTAATGTCAGGAATGAAATTTTAATATCAGGAGTATAACTTTAATAGCAGTTGTATAACTTTTTCAGTTGAAGCAGCTTTCACCACAGTGCAATGTGGTGAAATGAATGTGTTTCCTTATGTGATAGGCCTCTGGTGTCATTTACTTTTAAGACTCTAGGTGTTTAGGAAGTGTAGAACTTTTACTTCATGTTTCTTCATTGTAACATGAATCTGCAAACTTTTAAAAGTGCTTCAGGGGAACAACTGGAACTGTTGTGGAAGGCTCAGTTTTTCTTGCCAATTCAGTAAAGAATTAAAGATTATCGAACTGATTAGTATATAGACAGAGTTTAGAAGTAATACATTCTCAGGGAAGAGAAAGGGCCTAGGCAAGGTGGACAGGAGAGGCATAGGCTTTGGGTCTCTTTGTGCTGAGGATTTACCTAGTTTGCAAGGTGGGGCGAGGAAGTTACGTACTCATTTGGCAGGAAGATGGAGCATACTTCCTTCCTTCCTTATCGCAGGTATGGGTGGAGGTCTGTTAACTCAGATCCTTACTTGCTCCAGACCACCTCTTGTCATCCTGATGTAAAATAGATACTTGGCCTGCAAGCAGTTAATCAAAGTTATTTATGAGCTTTTTCTGTAAGCACTATGGACCCCCTTCCAGGTCCTCCTTCTCCTACATTTTCTAACTTCTACCTAACAAAACTTGATGCTAGTGACCCAATGTTGACTCATGGGTATGAGGCAAATTTAACTTTACAGGTTTATAGATAATATTATGTGGTCAGCTATCATGCAACATCCCAAATAATTTTTCCTACAATAGGATATTAGTCCTGGAAATTTCACCAATTAAAGATACTTGCCTGCTTCCAAATTTTCCTGATAAGAATCACCTGGGGCACTTACTAAATTTCAGGCTCCTCCTTTAGAGGTTGAAATTTCTTGCTTAAAGGCTGGTTCATTTGGTCTGTGATGGGTTGAGAATTTATTTGTGTTTTTAAATAGTACCTTCTGATAATTATTTTTTTATTTTATTTATTTATCTTTAGAGGGCAAGGGAACGAGAGAGGGAGAGAAACGTCAACATATGGTTGCCTCTCATGTGTCCCCTGCTGGGAACTGGCCTGCAACCCAGGCATGTGCCCTGACTGGGAATTGAACCATGGTTGTTGGTTTGCAGGCCCACACTCAATCCACTGAGCTATACTAGCCAGGGCCTGATAATTCTTATCAGGGACATTTAGGAAATATTGCCCTAAGATGGAACTAAGTTTCTCAAACACTTTTGCTCCAAAAAAAAAGGAAGGGAGGGAGGAAGGGGAAAGAGTAAGAGAAGGAGGAGGTGAAGGAGAAGGGGGAGTGATAGGAAATGGAAAGAAAAATCACCCAGAAACCTTGTTGAAAATACAGATTCCTGGGCCCTACTCAGTGTCTCATTTGTCTGGGATGAAGCTCCCAAATCTATACATTTTTAAAGCTGTGCATCCTGAGAGAAAAGATTCATTTGATGTGAACCTGGAGAAGAGATTTATTTGCTGAAATGGACTCCCTGTGGTCTACTGAGGGCCCACATTTTATGGACAATAAGAGTCTAGTAGCTGTTTGCTGACAGGGGCTCTTTGTGTACTCTAATACTGGGAAGAACCGCAGACCTGAACTCTCTGCTTCATACTATGCACTGCAGGGAAATCCTGGTTTAGTCTTTCTACCAAAGGACTGAGACCTGCCCTGTCCAGTCAGAGCTGCATCATTTGGATGCTTCATTTACCTAAAATGGACCTATTTCGGAACCTGGTGGGGATTTTTAACTGTAAAAAACAGCCTCTCCTTTGTTTTGGTGGCACACAATTAAGGTTGCTACCTGAATCTGTCTCCTGAGCCTCAGCTCTTTTTGTTCAAATAAATGCTTTTAATTCTTTAATATAGCCTAAAATTCATTTTAGTTTACAGAGCTCATGCAGTGCACAGGTCTGAGAACTGTCTTCCTAGTGTCACTGCCTTAGTGGAAGGTCCTTGAGTAAGCTTTCAGACGAGAGGGGTGGGGAAGTAGGAGATTGAAGGAAAGATAATTTTAGAATTAAGGACAGATCTTAGTGTAAGAGCTAGGTGGAGGACACTGGGAACCTAAGGGTAGTGAGCCTAAGATAAAGAAACCGCCTGAGGACCAACCATCCCACAGCTGCAGCACTACAGTCTTTGTGGGGGTGGAACATGGGTAAGCCATGGGAAGCTGACTTGAAAGCAACTAATCGTATTTTGCTGTGTATAATATGTACTTTTTTTGCATGAATGTTTGAGGGAAAAATAAGGGTGCACATTATACAAGGGTAGTACCTGAAATACCTTGTATCCATTCTTGTGTTTTATAATTATTTGTTATGTAAAATTTCTTGTACCATAATATCTTTAAAAATAAATGCTAAAATTTTTTTATAATAGAAAAAATGACCTAAATACAAATAAATATAAAGTTAAACTAAAAAATTTAAATGGAAGATTTTTTCCCCAAAAACATGGGTGCACACTATACACAGGAGTGCACTATACATGGCAAAATACGGTACATTCATTATTTTGCAAGCAAAAATTTGCCTGTGTGCCATAGATTGCCAGTTCTTGTTTTACTTGCTGCTATGAACATTTATTGATTTTTCTCTTGTGTAGTAAGAAGAAAGCATAACTTATAGACCATCTTCTGGCAGAAGATGATAAATTTGGATCAGAAACAGGAAGCGTTGGAAGCTAGGAATCAAAAGTGAAGAAATTCTGCAAGCCCTTGGGTGAGAAAGGTGATGGATTTATTTACTTACATGTCCCACAGTATCTTTATATGGTTATCTAATGTGAGCATGATGCTTTTAGGTAGTTATGTACCTTCACAAGGTTCAGAAGAAGGTGGAATAAGCTGTTAGAAATGGGTCTTAAGCACACATTTCTTCTCAGGCTGTTCCTGTCAGCCCTTCCCGTCATCACCTTCCCTGCCTTCACTTCTGCTTATTTGCCAGGACCCTTCTAGCTCCTTCTCAGGGCTAAAGCCTTAACCTGAAATACCTCATTGATATTCATGATAGAATTTACAGAATTCTTCTTACTGCTAGGCACCAAGCTTTTGTGCTCTCCCAGCATTCTTTCATTCCTTTCATGAAATAACCCAATGATCTAGTTACTATGATTATGATCCATTTTGCAGATGAAACATCTAAAGTTCTGAGAGGTTATATAACTTGCCCAGGACCTCCCAGCTAGGAAATGGCAGAACCAGATTTGACAGTTGTGCTTTCTTCTTTCTTGCTGCCTTCTTTCTCTCAGAGAGAAAATGGGGAGTCACACCTGCATGTCCTCCTGTGTAGCCCAACTTGGTAGACTCTTTTGAAAGGTTGTCAACCTCTGAGATTTAAAAGCATTTAAGTCTTTATTACAGAATATTTGAAAGTCACAAAAGAGAAAGAAACCACCTCTAATATTGTTGGCCTTATATTAACTATGATTACTATTTTAATGTGTTTGTTTTCAGGCTATTTTGGCACATGTGTATATTTCCTTATAGTACATACATTCTTCATTATCATGATATTTTAAATGTAAATAACATTTTTATACTCATACTGAGATTTTAATGATACTCAAATGATAATGTAAGATTTCCAGCAATTTGAAATGAATGAGGTCTAGCAAATGAGTGAATGAATGATGCTTGCTTCCATGTATGGAATATTATATTTGTTTCCTTTTTACTTTTGTTTTTTCTGTGTTCAGAGAGAGAGTCCATTGTTATAGTTTAAATTTTATATCATGAGCAAACAGTATCGTGAACAAAAGACATACTCTTCCAGCTCAAGTATGTTTTACCTGACTTTCCAGGTCTTGCTCAAATCCACATTCCCTTTAAGCTTTTCTTGACTTCCAAGCCTGTAACAGACTTTCTCTACATCAGTCTTCTCAAGCACTTTCTGGCTATACCTCACATTTGACTTTTACCATGTTCTATGTCTGCTAGATACAATATTTTTGCCCCATTTTCTTATATCTTTTTCTATCCCCAACACTTACTCTAGTGCTTTTTTCATTATGTCATATTTTTTTTTTAGCATTTGGTCTTTGAACCAAATTGCTATTAACTAATTTTTCTGAGGTAGTAGAATGATTTTAAACTTTCTGGTGTGTCTTTCTATGACTTGTAGGTTCCTGTCACTGTAACCATGCCAGAGGTGACAGAGAGTGAGACTCCTACAAAAAAGCAGCACAGGTATGTAGCCACAGTTCAAAAATAATATAGTTTCAGAGGATAAGAAGCAGAATTAATCCCTACTTTGTTAAATAGGTAGTCCATAGGGAACTTTTATTTGGGTGCCTATGAAAACCACTACTCTTCAAAAATATGTGTGGATAATGAGAAATAGGTTTATGGAACGAGGTACATAGTTAAAATTTCCTGTCTTCCTTATTTTGCCAGTAGTGTAACAAGTATAATACCAAATCTATTCTAAATGTTTAGCTTCTTTTGAACATTTTATTTGCATACAGTGTTAGTCTTTGAGATTCTAAGTTCACATACGCAGAAGTCAGTTTGACTAGACATTTTGTTGTGTTAGAAACCATTAATGTGAATATGCACATCAGTACAGTATTACTTGTGTTCTTTGTATTACATTCCTTCTGGATTTCTAGCAGTTTGGCCAGTGTTTCTGATTGGAGTTACATGGCCAATGTCCCCATTAATATTAAAATCACTATTCTCTTTTCCTACTACAGAGCTCTTAAAGAATGTTAATGTATTGAGTAGTGGTACCTGAAAGGGAAAAATCAATGTTTTTAGTAGATTAGCTTTTAAGAAAATTAGGGCCTTGGCTGGTGTGGCTCAGTGGGTTGAGCACACTGGCCTGCAAACCAGAGTGTCACCAGTTTTATTCCCAGTCAGGGCTCATGCCTGGATTGCAGTCAGGTCCCTAGTTGGGGGCGTGTGAGAGGTAACAATGTTTCTTTTGTGCATTGATGTTTCTCTCTCTTTTACTTTCCCCCTTCCCCTCTCTCTAAAAATAAATAAAATCTTTTAAAAATCACACACTATGAAAAGAAAAAAGAAGATTTAAGAGATTGTTGTGGGCTGGTGTGGGTCAGTTGGTTAGGCATCATCCTGCAAACCAAAAGGTTTCAGGTTCAATCCCTGGTCAGGGCATATACCTGGGTTGTGGGTTTGGTCCCCATTTGGGGCACATGCAAGAGGCAACTGATCCATGTTTCTCTCTCACATCAGTATTACTTTCCCTTTCTTTCTCCCTCCCTTCCCACACTCTAGAATCAATAAAAGAAAAAAAGTATATTAAGAAAATAGAAAAGTTAAGAGTTTGGATAACTTAAGGTATATAACTAACTGCTCAAGATGGCTAAAGTGCCAATTGTCAGTGCGTGGGTGCTGCTGGCTGCCATACTTCTTCTCTCCCTGGGAATTTTTAGGTTTCTCTCTACTGTTGCTTGTTTCCTTTACACACCCACCCCCACCTTGGCCTTGGTGCCAAGGCAAACAGACATTGGAAGTCACCTACTTGGCATATCACTTTGAGAATTGACAAGCTCATTAATTATGTTTTTCAAATCAAGTTTTCAGTGATTGATTTACTTCCCAAGCAATGACTCATCTACTTGGCACATCACTTTGAGAGTTGACTAGCTCCTTAATTATATTTTCAAATAGTTTTCAGTGACTGATTTATTTCTTTACCAATGGCTTGTGGGTATAGAAGAATAGGGAATTGTAGTTACTTGCAGAAATTGTGGATTCTAAATTTATATTGATGTGTCTACAGTTAAGTTTTCATACCATAATATATATTAAGAAAAATTTTTTTCAGATTTTTTCTTATTGATGCACCAAATACAATGGCATAACATTTATCTTTATGGTTCTCAAAATACAAAGTGGTGAAAATGTTTTTCTATTATTTTCATGTTCCTTTTATCTATACTTTTTGTTTCAGAAAGAAAAACCGGGAGACACACAATGCAGGTAGAAACAATTTAAATTTTGTTTGTAAACATTTTTGTATTCGAAATAAAATTATGCTGTAGTCGATTATAAGCTTTTATGCTATAAGTACAGAATCATTATTCATTTGTTTTAGGAAAAGTATTTCTCTGTTGTTTTTAGTTGACAAAACACCTCTGCAGCTTATAAAGATTGTTTGCTTATCATCTTTGGATTTACTGTCTATTTAGATAATTTAAGGATTGACATACCCCTGGAGCTAGAGTTTTAAGTGATTTCACCCACTGAGTGATTTTAGTGTTTTAAGTGATTTCAGATATACTTTTCCTAAATAGAATGAACAGTATGTGTCTTTGCAGAAATTCCAGAGGGGGCTGGCTGCCTAGAGGAATAGGGAAGACATGAGCAGCAGGCTGTAGATCTTAAAGGTACTTAAAATGTGAACAGTCTTAAATTAAGTTGTGGAGTCCTCAATTATAGGAAGAAATGTAGAAAATAAATATTTAATTTTATCACAAACATTAAAATTATAGGCCAAAACCAGATGAACATTTATAGACATAATTGTGCATACATTTACGGTGCATTTTATAATATTTATTTTCCATCAGGGACTTCACTGAGATCTAAAAAAGTAGAAGTTAATTTCTACTATCTATATTATAAATGATATATGTATTCCTCTCCCTAAGGAAAGGACCCTGGGAAAATTTTATCTATGGAGAAATGTGTTGAACACTTGCAGCATATTGCTCTTCCCCAGAAGGGAGTTTCTGCCTTTGAATTTCCCTTTATCACTCTGGGTAAAGAGTCTAATTTTTTTTTACCTCTACACATTAAAAAATTTGTTCCTAGATAAAAACAAATACCATTACTTTGGTTTTTTAATTTGTTTGTTTGTTGGTTTTTTCGCCATGTGGGTCAAATCTAATCTTTTTTGGATATATGACCTGAATGTTTTATTGGACTCACTGTCACATGGTGCCTTAAATATTTCCTGATACTAATTTATTGAGAATGATTAGATATCATTGACAAAGAAATTCTTACTGCTAGATTATGAAGCAAAAAGTATATGTTTTGCAAAGCAAGACCTACCTCTGCTACAATCTGAAAGATCATTCCTTTAGAAGCACTGGAATCCTTTGTTAAGAAGGTTTTGCAAAACTTTTTAAAGAAAATAGCCAAGACTAATATTTCTACTAACAGAATCTTATAGAAACTATTTAGATCATCTCTTATATCCTCTTGACCCTTCTATACATCTTTTAAAGTTGTAGCATATAAGCCTGGAACCTGTCTCAGTTCATTGAGAAGTCAGTTACTCAGTTTCTTGAATGAAAAAGAAATCCTATATGGCCAAAGTAAATAGCCCAGACCCCATGGGAAAAACCAAGCCACTGTCTTTTCTTATCTGTTTTAAGTTAAAACTAATAGCTGTTTCTGTTCCACAGATGTCCTCTAGTCATCCTAAAAGCTATTTCAAGGTTCTTTAGTCTGTCTGGAAAAGTCTCATTAGCCTATGTGCTATAAAGAGGCAACTTTCTAGTACTTAGCTTATTAGTGGGTTCTTGAAATTTGGTTATTAAACTCTCTAATAATTACTTGCAATATAATATGATAATGGCCTAACAGTAATGTAATATTAGCAATTTGTTTATAATTTGAGTTTAGTTATTATAGATCTCACTCTTTAAAGTGCTAATAAAAGTATTGCTTATATCAATTTCTAGAACTCTAGTTATGTTTGAAATCTTATTATAGTTGGTCTTCAGTAGATCCTATTTGATAAGATTTTCTTAGGTTTTTCTTTGCCTAAAATTTTTTTACCTAGGGAGAATGAAGCAATTTGGCTGTAGGTTTGATAAATGGATTTTTTCCCCTCTCTAGTGGAGAGGCATAGGAAGAAAAAAATCAATGCTGGGATTAACAGAATAGGAGAGCTGATTCCATGTTCCCCTGCACTGAAGCAGGTAAGAAGTTCACTCATTTTTATTCATAACTTGTAAACAGATAGTTCCCTGTTGTTTCTGCGCTCAGAATGATTATTTTTTTAATTAAAATAATTTATTTAAAATTTAGAAAAATCGACTCAATGAATTGAAAACAAAACTATTTAAAATAAAATAGTACCTTTATCTTTTATTTTTCTTGACATATATAAAGCCTTTTTTCAGCTAGTGATTTTTTGAAAGATGTGTGTTATCATTTATGAGGTAAAGACAACTTTATGCATATATTTCTTTTTTTAATCATTTTTTAAATTGTTGTTTGAATACAGTTGTCTCCATTTTCCCACCACTACTTTCCCTGCCCTACCCACCCCCACCTCCCACCCTCAATCCCACCCACCTTTAGCTTTGTCCATGGGTCCTTTATGCATGATTTTTGATAACCTTTTCCCTTTTTTTCCCCATTATTTCCCTCCCCCATTCCCTCTGGTAACTGTCAGTTTGTTCTTTATTTCAGTGTCTCTGGTTATATTTTGCTTGCTTGTTTGTTTTGTTGATTAGGTTCCACTTATTCGTGAGATTCTGTGGTATTTGTCTTTTACCACCTGGCTTATTTCATTTAGCATAATGCTCTTCAGTTCTATCCATGCCATTGCAAAGGAGCTATTGCTCCTTCTTTCTTTCTGCTGCTTAATATTCCATTGTGCAGATGTACCATAGTTTTTTCAGCCACTCATACCGATGGGCACCTAGGCTGCTTGCAGCGCTTGGCTATTGTAAATTGTGCTGCTATGAACATAGGGGTGCAGAGATTCTTTTGAATTAGTGTTTCGGGATTCTTAGGGTATAATTCCAGCAGTAGAATTGCTGGGTCAAAAGGCAATTCCAGTTTTAGTTTTCTGAGGGGATTCCATACTGTTTTCCATAGTGGCTGTACCAGTCTGCATTCACACCAACAGTGTACTAGAGTTCCTTTTTCTCTACAACCTTTCTAGCACTTATTATTTGTTGATTTGTTTATGATGGCCATTCAGAATGATTATTTTTGTTCCTTGTCATTAATAGTTTTTTTTAGTTAATAGTTGCCTCATAATTTTTAATTTGCATAATTTTCTACATAGCCGTGCTTCTTTCCACACTCCCGACAGTCTTCTAGTACAGTTTTTTACATGATCAGATGGGCCATATAATTTCTAGATCTTTAGGTCTTGAATTACTCAGTCCCACGATTACATTTATATGTGTGTAGCTGTATTTACCAGGCATTTCTTTCATTTTCTGCCAGTCATGTTCCTTTACTATGTTAAATTCTTACCAAGACCCTTCGAAGGACCTCTTCTTTATTTTCTTCTCTATGCCCTATCAACCTCCACTAAAATCTGAGCTTATTAAAGCTGACAGTTTCCCCTAAGGAAGATAGTGTTTTGTTTCTTCTGATGATGAGGATAAAGTGTGCTCACTGAAAACAAAACAAAATCAAACAAAAAATGTATAAAATATAGAGGGCATAAAAAGTTTAAAAAATAAACTGCCACCCCACTCCCAAATTATTTATAATCACCATTAAAAGTATTGTTACTCATTTCCCTAGACATTGCTTTATGAATATGTCTTTGTAGTTTCATAACCTGCTTTGTAGTTTCACTCAGTGGTACCCAGTAGACTTGGTTGTAGATACCTTTCCTCATGTGTTCTCCTAACATTTAAATGATTATATAGTATTTGACTGTATTGGGATATTACAATATGTACTAGCCTTTTTAAAATTAATTTTTGTATTATAGTATGTCATGTTTGTTTTTTTAATATCTTCATCTGAGGATAATTTTTCATTACTTTTAGAGAGAGAGGGAGGGAGAGAGAGAGAGAAACATTGATGCAAGAGGGAAGCATCAATCAGTTGCCTCCCTCACGTGCCCCAACCAGGTATTGAACTTGCAACTTTTCAGTTTAGGACAGTGCTCCAACCAACTGAGCCACACCAGCCAGGACTGTCTCATATTTTCTTTTGTTTTGTTTTGTTTTTTGTTTTGTTTTGTTTTGTTTTGTTTAGAGAGGAGGAGAGAGGGAAAAAGAGAGGGAGAGAAACATCAGTGTGTGGTTGCCTCTTGCATGCCCCCTACTGGGGACCTGGCCTGCAACCCAGGCATGTGCCCCAAGTGAGAATCGAACCAGGAACATTTGGTTTGCAGGCCCACACTCAATCCGCTGAGCCATACCAGCCAGGGCTGTCTCATGGTTTTTATTATCATTTCCCTGAATCTAAAGAAGGTCTAAACTAGTTTGACAACTAATTTTTAAAACATTCTAATTGAGTATTTGTATATTCTCTTTTTATGTAGCACCTATTCTATGTGTTTGATCCATTTTTCTAATGGATTTTTTAAAGAAATTGTATTAAATTTATTGGGTGACACTGTTTAATGCAATTATATTTGTTATTAAATTAATATCTGCAAAAAATAATATATACACATAGCAAATAGCACTAAAAAGCTTAAAACATCCAACATCAGTCTCCTGTGTAATACAATTCTAATACAGCTTCTTAGAGGCAGTCATTCTGAACTGCTGCTTCTGGCATTACTTTTACATTTCAAAATGACATGCTCGCATTACTATATCTTATTTTTCTTTTTGTATATTATATATTGACTTCCTATTATGCTTTTCTTTTTGCTTCCCCTCGTCTAATCCTCCCAGTACAATTGTACTACAACTTTTGATTAAATTGACATTCAGTTTTTATGTTGTTAAGAGAGTCTAGATATGGTTTATGGTTGAACCAAGGAGTATACTATATATATATATATATACGAATATGATTTTATTTATTTATTTTTAGAGGGAAGAGAAGGAAAAAGAGAGGGAGAGAAACAACAATGTGTGGTTGCCTCTCACACACCCCCTACTGGGGACCAGGCCTGCAACCCAAGCGTGTGCCCTGACTGGGAATCAAACTGGTGACCCTCCGGTTTGCAGGCCTGCACTCAGTCCATGGAGCCAGACCAGCCAGGGCAGGAGTGTACTATATTATGTTTCATTTCACATGTAACTTTTGGCTTTTTGGAATTAATAATTGCCTTAATGTTCTTCATTTGTTTAATTTTCTCTATACCTCTCTTTAATTTTTTTCTATACTTCTAACAGTTTCTTAGTACAGTTTCTACATGGTCAAATGTACCACATAATTTCCATTTTCCCTTTTTTTCCTTTGAGACTATTTCTGGAACCCTCTACCCTTCCTTCCTTTTCAATCTCAATTGTTTGGTCTCCTCCAACTTTTCTGTTTTTAATTTCCTCTCATATTTTTAATTTCTAAGGTTCTTTTTTCTTACTCTTTTTGTTTTTTTTTTTTCATGCCACCTATTTGTTTCATCTCATCTCTGAGAATGTTACAGGGTATTTTTTAAATTTTTCTTCTATTTCTTCTGTTAACTTTGTTTCTTCTGATTTGTCTTGATGTTTTATCTTTCTTTTTGGAGACTTTCCTGAAATGTTTAGTGATACTTAGTTGTTTTTTCATATTTGACAATGAGGCATTAAAAAGCTGACGATTAGGCTTGTCTGTTGGTGGCCCTAACTGTTGAGTGATTAGGTGGTGCACTAGTGTTGTAAAACTCAAAAACATCAGTATTTGTAGCTTTTTTTGTTTTGTGGTTAGTGGTAATGATGATGATGATGATGATGATGATGATGATGATGTTTTCCAGAGCAGAATCATTCATCCCTATACCTAGGAGTAAGAATGGTGGGAAGAGTATGATATGAGGCTAGTTGCCATTATCCTGGGAGGAGGGTCAGGGAAGTGAGTGCTCAAGGCTCTCATGGTTTAGGAGACAGAGTTTTCCTTTACCCATTTTCACTGAGGAGGCTCATCTTGTTCACTTCTGTGCCAAGGTCTGAAATTCTCTGGTAACATTTCATAGAAAATAAACTTGTCTCCTGTGTCTGGGACAGAAAAGGGAAATCATCCCACTGCCGAGAGAGAGAGAGAGCGAGAGAGAGTGTTTGTGTGTGTGTGGAGGGGGTTGGTTCTTATTCCTGCATCAGAAGAATCTTTCCATAAGTCCCCTCACTTTTAACCCCTTCCTCTCACCCCACCTTCTGTAGTAGCTGGAGCTTCCTAGTCCTGAACCTTCCCAGGCCTAGGGAGGCTAGACCAGCTTGGCTCATTTCCCAACACTGTCTCTCTTGGGAAGGTCTTACCCTTCAAATTCTTTTCATTCTCCCCTACAAATTGGTACTTAATCTTATATAAATGTGTTTTTTAGTCTTTTTAAAAACATACTTTCTCTTTCTTTTAGCACAGTAGCAAACTTAAGGGCAGATACTTTGTCTTCTGACTGTTTTGCTTCCTCCGTATCTCAGTGTATAGTAGCTGCTTAGTAAATATTTGTGTTTGCCTAGTAAAATCTCATTTTCCTGCTCTTGGCTTTCATTAATATGAGTTTCTATGAAAGGAAAGCATAATTATTTTGCTTTGTTGGTGTCCTAGAATGTACAGTGGAAGTCAGTATTTGGCTTCCAAAGACTGAATAAATTGAGATTATCTTCACTATTGCTACACATTGCCAACCCCTTCTGTAGTAGAGAGGCAGTAAGTAGGCGCTACCAGGTTCTGCCTTTGTCTTGCCTCTTCATTTAAAAAATGACAGTGTCAGTTTTTTTCTCTCAAAAGTGTTTTCCTACTGGGCAGCTGATGGCAACTGGGAGAACTGTGTGAAGTCCCAAGGTGCCTACTTTGAAGGAGACTGGGGTGCCACTATTTTCTGTACAATGTCTCTTGCATCTGCATCAATAAATGTCTCTATTCTTCATAAAAAAAAAAAAGTGTTTTTCTGGGTTATTTTGGGACTCAGTCTAGGAACCCAGAATTGTAACTTGCTGGACCAAACCCCTAAATCACCAATTCCTGTATGAAAGCATCTATCTGATAAAGCACTAGAGACAGTCAGTAATATGCATACAGGAGTAGAAGTTAAACACGTACTGTGAAATTTTAAAAATAATTTATTTTCTTTTTTTTATAATTATATTTCATTGATTATGCTGTTACATTTGTCCCAAGTTTTCCCCCTTTGACCTCCACCACCCAGCACTTCCCACTTCCTCAGGCAGTTCCCACACCATTGTTCACATCCAAGGGTCATGCACACAAGTTCTTTTGGTTCTTCCATTTCCTATACTGTACTTTACATCCCCATGGCTATTCTGTAACTACCTATTGTACTTCTTAATCCCCTCACCTCTTCACCCATTCTCCACAGCCCCCTCCCGTCCAGCAACTGTTGAAATATTCTTCTTAGCCATGATTCTATATGTTCTTGTTTGTTTAGTTTCTTTTTTAGATTTAATTGTTGATAGATATGTATTTATTGCCATTTTATTGTTTATAGCTTTTGTCTTCTTTTTCTTAAGTCCTTTTAACATTTCATATAATAATGGTTTGGTGATGATGAACTTCTTTACATTTTTCTTATCTGGGAAGCTCTTTATCTACCTTTTGATTCTAAATGATAGTTTTGCCGGTAGAGCAGTTTTGGCTGTAGGTCCCTGCTTTACATGACTTTCAATATTTCTTGCTAATTTCTTCTAGCCTGCAAAGTTTCTTTTGAGAAATCAGCTGACATTCTTATGGGGACTCCCCTGTAGGTAACTAACTGCTTTTCTTTTACTGCTTTTAAGATTCTCTTTCTGTCTTTAACTTTTGGCATTTTAATTATGATGTATCTTGGAGTGGGTTTCTTTGCATCCATCTTGTTTCAGACACTCTGTGTTCCCTGGCCTTGCATGTCTATTTCCCCTCTCAAATTAGGGAAGAGTTCTTTCATTATTTTTTCAAGTACATTTCCAATTTCTTGCTCTTTCTTTTCTCCTTCTTACACCCCTATGATGCCAATGTTGTAATGCTTGAAGTTGTACCAGAGGCTGCTTACACTATGCTCGTTTTTTTTGGATCCTTTTTCTTCTTCTTGTTCTGATTGGTTGTTTTTTGCTTCCTTGTGTTCCAAATCATTGATTTGATTCTCAGTTTCATCCACAGGACTGTTGTTACCCTGTAAATTGTTTGTTATTTAAACTAGTGTACCCATCATTTCTGACTGGATCTTTTTTATGCTGTTGAGGTTCTCACTAAGTTCCTTGAGCATCTTTAAAACTAGTGTTTTGAATCTGCATCTGATAGATTGCTCATCTCCATTTTGTTTAGTTCTTTTTCTGGAGTTTTGATCTCTTCTTTCATTTGGGCCATGTTTCTTTGTCTCCTCATTTCATCAGCCTCTGTGTGTTTGTTTTTATGTGTTAGGTAGTGCTGCTAAGACTTCGTGTCTTGGAAGTATGGCCTGATATAGTAGGTGTCCTGTAGGGTCAAATGGCACAGCCTCCCCTATCACCAAAGCTGGGTACTCAAGGTATGCCCTTTGTGTGGGCTGAGTACACCCTCTTGTAATTGAGCCTTGGTTTCTGTTGGCAGATCAATGGGAGAGATTTACCCAGGCCAGTCAGTCAGCTGCGAGGATTGGCTATGACCACTGACCACCAACTTCAGACCCCTGTGGGGGATCAGCTGTGCAGGATCAGGGTGGTGGTGCTCCAATGAGGTCTGTAGCTACCCACTGGGTGTGCAGGCCCTGGGGTTTTCCGGATGGTGCAGGCCAAGGTCAGCCCCCACCTGTGTTTTGCCTGGGACCATCCTGCCTGAGCTATCAAGCAATCTGAGATGGCTGCTACTTGTGCTGGGCTTGGAGATTTTCTGGTGAAGCCAAACTGCAAATCTAGGCTGGCTGCTGCTAGTGCTGGGCCTGGGGCCCCTTAGCAAGAGGTTCAGGGGCTAGGGACTCACTGAGGCTGGCTGTTGCTAGTTTGAAAGGTTTTAAGATGTTGTGAAGCATGAGCCAAGGCCAGCCGTTCATATGGAAAAGCCACTATTAACAGCTGTAAGTTGGGTGGGACAGAGCTTCAGGGGATCTCCATGGTGGGGCAAAGAATGTTATCCAGGTTGATGGAATCTCAGATATGGCACCCATCTGCCAACTCTGTAGCTTTGTGCAGGGAGGGTCAGAAAAAGAACAATGGGCTCTCCCTGCCTTTCTGTCTGGGGAAGAGTTGTCCCCGAGCTCTCACCTTGATGCCAGACTCTTCAATTTCTCCCCATGTGCCACTGGTGCCTTTCATGCTGCTACCCTGGTGCTGGAGCTCAGATGGAGTGAGTTTGAGTAGGTGAATCCTCGTGTGTGTTCTTTTAAGAGGAAGTGCTTGGGACTCCAGAAGTTTATTCCACTAACTGAGTTCCCACTGGTTTTTGCATCCAGAAGTTATGGAGGCTTATCTTCCTGGCACTGAAACCTTGGGCTGGGGGCCCTATAGTGAGGATGGGACTCCTTTCTTCCGAGATATCCCTCCTGAATTTTTATGCACCATATGTAGATGTGGAACCAATCTGTTCTGTGTCTGTGCCTTCCTACCAGTCTGGATGGATGTGGTTTCTTTAATTCTGTAGTTGTCAGACATCCACTCAACTTGATTTCTGACGGTTCTGAGTAATGGTTTATTTTACTTTTCAATTGCAGTTGGCAGTTCATCATTTTTAATAGCTAAAGAATAAAAAAACTGAAGTGCCTCTTACACAGCTTAAATATTTATCAGTAATAGACTGGTAATAAAATAAACACAGCTTTTAAAGGTATAACATAGGTATTGCTATCTAAATTCTAAGTAGAAGAAACTACAAGATATATTTTTAAATTAAATAATGTAACCTACTGTTTATACTATCTTTCTTCCTGGGTGTAAAAATTTAATATACACATACACATCAGTACAGAATATTCTGAAAGGTTACACAAGTAACTTTACAGTGGTTGCCTCTGGAAAGAGTTGGAAAGTTAGTTTTTATTATATATCCCTTGAGATTATTTACATTTTTGCTATATGTACACCTTGTGTTTTTGATTTTTAAAATTGTTAATTAAAGAATAAAGCAACACTTTGACATAAAATACAGTCTTTTCAAAAAGCTTAGGAATGGAATGTAGTGGCAGCATGATAGCGAAACTCAATCAGGTGACGTTGTAATCAGGTGACATTGTAATCAGGTGACATTGTTTTCTCCACCTGTGATTGGGATGGTTTTTAGTTCTGGTTGACAGAGTAAGGAATGATATTAACATGTAATAAACATCTTAACATCTTAAATGGTCTTGAAGGCTTTCATTGGCCCCCTCTTTTATTACTTTTCTCCTTATTCCTCCTGCAAAATGCCAAACACAGCCCTGGTTGAGGGCTTTTCTTTTGGTGGTCCTGCTACCTGTACCCTCTTCCTTCAGATACCTACAAGGCATATAATAAACCCTTTAGGTTTGTGCTTCAGTGTAGAGAAAGGCCTTCCTCAACCTCCCTACATAAAATAGATTAAAATAGAGTGTCTTGGTCATTTTGGGATGCCATTAGAAAAATAACAGACTCAGTGTCCTAAACAACCAAAGTTTATTTCTTTCAGTTCTGGAGGCTGGTAAGTCCAAGATCAAGGTGCTGGTCAGTTTGTTTACTGTACAGGCTGTCTTCCTGGTTATGTCCTCACATGACAGAGAAAGAGCGCAGTCACCTCTCTTTTGTCTCTTCTGCTAAGGTCATCTCATTTATGAGGGATCTACCCTCATGGTCTAGTTATCTCTCAAAGGCCCAGCATCCAAATGCCATCACAGCAGGGATTAGAGTTTCGACAGGAATCATAGGGGGGCACAAACATTCAATCCAAAGCACAGAGTAACTTCTGCCATCTCTCTGGCCCCTCCTTACCCTGCTTCTCCTCATTTTTCTTCATAGCACTTACCACCTGGTTATTTATGTATATGTATAAAATTTCTCAAGGTCAGGAACTTTTTCTATTTTGTTATATTATTTTATTATATATATTATTTCTGTGTGTATGATAGAGCCTCATGCATAGCAGATGCTTAGTAAATACTTAGTAAATGAAAGATGAACAACATTTTTGAATGAGTTGAATTTCAAAAATTTTAAAACATACTATTAGATATCTGTGATAAAACCAAAGTTTTTAAATTTCTTCCTGCAAGATCTTACCTTTCAGTGAAGCATTTAAATAGTTAATTTTCTTTGGCAGAGCAAGAATATGATCCTGGACCAAGCCTTTAAATATATAACCGAATTGAAAAGGCAAAATGATGAACTCCTGCTTAATGGAGGAAACAATGAACAAGGTAAGTATTTTTTCTTCCTTTTTGTTGCGTGTGGTTTTTTTTTTTTTTTTTTATGTTCAGGCGTTTGCATCACAACCAACTTCTATTAGTATACAGAAGGCTTTTTTGACCAAAAACATTAGTAAGACCATGCATTCAGTCAGTCTGGGAGGATAGTGTTGCAAATAAATTCATCTTAGTTTATCTTCTTCCCCCATTCTGTGAGCAGTTCTAATATTGCAGGCATATGTAATTCTGACTTTGGACTACTCTGTTTTTTGTTTGCTTAACTCATAAATAATGCTGGATCTCCTGTATTCTACGTGGGTCTTCCAGCTAGGGGGAGTCCGTAAGAGAATGTAGTGGGGGAATCCTGCTCATTGTAACTTAAAAACAAGATAAAGATACGCCTGTGCCAAGACTTAATTGTGAATTTATTCAAAAGGCCACACACTTAGTTTATAATTACTTATATTACATATAAGTATGCATTAAACTGATTATTTAATGATATTTGATTTTTAGATAAAGGTGAGTCTTTCTGTGTTATCAAATGAGTCTCTTTTTTCACTTGAACTGAGAATGGGTTTCCTTATAACAGCTGAAAATAAAAGTACCACAGGCAAGTGTAAAGCTCACAGTAGGCCAGTTTGAATTGTCATTTATTTATGTTTCTGACAAGAGCAGAGAGAATTTCCTGCAACAACTCAGAAGGTCCCATTAAAAGGTGAGAAACAAAGGCAGAATTTGTGGAGGTGGCAGCAGTCCTGGGTTGTGTTTAAGAGAAGCAGGAAGAATATTAGAAAGTATATTCAGAAAGTCAGGTCCAGAATTTCCTTGTTTACTTTTATTTTCTTTAAAAATTTTTTAAAAAGATTTTGTTTATTTCTAGAGAAGGGAAGGGAGAAACAGAGGGACATCAGCGTGTGGTTGCCTCTCAGGTGCTCCCAACTGGGGATCTGTCCCACAACCCAGGCATGTGCCCTGACCAGGAATTGAACTGGCGACCCTTTGGTTCACAGGCTGGCACTCAGTCCACTGAGCCACAACAGCCAGGACCTTGTTTACTTTTAGTTAGATAACAACTTATCCCCTCAACGTGGTCAGCTGTCTTTTATAGTGCGGACCCTGTCTTATAATGCTGTCAGGTTGTTAGGTACATAGTCTGTGTTTGAGGCACCCCATGAAAGGGATGTTAAGGCTAGAATGACTTTTCTAATGAGGGCCTCTTGTTTCGCAGCCCAGTGGCTGAGACAGTTGAGTTACCTTAGGCAAAAGGGAAACTACTGAAAAAATACAAGTTGCAGGGGGCTCAGGAAGAGCTGAACAGCATGGCCAGGGGTTCAAGCAGCAAATGAGGCAGCTTAGGTGTAACCATGTTGCCATTTCTGTCCTTTCTTTGGTTCTTTTTTGTGTATCTCTTCCATCTTCTTTCCATCTCCCAGCAGTTTTCTCCATATTGTACACGACAGTCTAGAGAGTGGTCCGAGCAGTGGCCTTGGGAGTCAGTCCCACTTGGGTTTGTGTGTCGGTTTCATTTATCACTCACATGCCTCTGGCCAGTTACTTAACCTTTCCAAGTCTCAGTTTCCTTATTTTAAAATGAGGATAATCATAGTATAGTATCTGTCCGATTGACTTTAGACAAATTCCATAACTACTCTGAGCTTGCCTGTCACATCTGAAATGGTGATGACAACAGATAGTTCCCATCTCATGGTAGTTATGAAGATTAAAAGAGAAAATTCTGGTAAAGCATTTAAAGTCTGCCACATAGTAAATGTTTCATAAATACTATCTGTTGTGATTGTTGTTGTTATTATTAAATGAAACAATGAATGAAAAGGGCCAGGCATATACAGTAAGTGTGTGAGGAGTAACAACAACCATTATTATTCTGTCCGTACTGATTATTTTAATTTCTAATGTCCATGGAACATTAACATTTTTTCCCCTGTGTCTCTGAGCCTAAATATCTGAGGAAAATAATCTGCTAGTCTCAGTTTATCCTTGTCAGAACAGAACTCTGCATTTCAGGCTACCTCACAGGGCATTGTCCTTGAGGATTGTCTTGTTTTTGGCAGGAGGAGTGGGGAGAGTACCTACCACTGTGGCAAGGCAGGTAGGGATGTATGAGGTCGAGGAGCGTAAGTAGCAGCAGCCCAGGCTGCCCCGTGAGTAGGGTCCAGGGGTGGGGCTGTCTCCCTTAGAAGGGAATGGGGTGTGACATCTTTATTTCTCAGTAGTGTACATACGTGGGCCCTGCCAAGGAAAAGGCAAGTTTCATCGTTGATGCTTTCCTCCATGCTCTACCACTTTACTTCTTACATGTTCTGCTTGGTCTTTATTGTTTAAAAGGGTACAATAGAAACTAGTTAAAGCCATTTATAAAAGAGACTCTAGCCCTGGCTGGTGTAGCTCAGTGGATGGAGTTCAGGCTGCGAACTAAAGAGTTGCTGGTTCAATTCCCAGTCAGGGCACATGCCTGGGTTGTGGGCCAGCTCCTCACTGTGGGGCATATGAGAGGCAACCATACATTGATCTTTCTCTCTCTCCCTTCCCCTCTCTCTAAAAATAAATAAATAAAACCTTTAGAAAAAGAGAGAGAGATTCTATTACCACTATGAGTAATGTTAGCTGTTGTAGCATTTAAATGCTGTTCTATTGAAGTTCGGTATTACGTTCCTACATGTTACCATGACATCAGTGTGTCTTCTCTTGCTTTACCTTTGTAGCTGCCATATTGGGAGTTTTTGAATTGGGAGTTTTAACATTTCTACATTATGAGTAATTTTCATCTTTTGAGTTATTGATCTTTAAAAATATATACTTTAAAAATATGGGATAGAGGTTTGAGATACCATCCTAAAAAGGAGAAAGCTTTTATTAGGGCATGCTGGATATTCTCAGTTGAGGTATTTACAGTGCTTGAATTAGATTTCTGTAGTTTTAGTATACAGTTCTTAAGTTATTGTAAATACTGACATTCACAGGTAACTTTTTCATTTTTATTTTTAATATTGTAGCTGAAGAAATTAAAAAGCTACGTAAACAACTGGAAGAAATTCAAAAAGAAAATGGCCGATATATTGAATTACTAAAAGCAAATGACATATGTTTATATGACGATCCCACAATCCACTGGAAAGGAAATCTTAAAAATGCAAAGGTCTCTGTTGTTATTCCCAGTGACCAGGTTCAGAAAAACATTATTGTTTATTCCAATGGGAGTCAGCCTGGTGGAAACGGCCAGGGAGCAGCTGTTCAGGGGATCACCTTTAATGTTGGTCATAATTTGCAAAAGCAAACTGCCAATGTGGTGCCAGTACAGAGGACTGGCAATCTTGTGACTCCTGTGTCTATTTCTGGAGTTTACCCTTCTGAAAACAAGCCATGGCATCAGACTGCAGTTTCTGCATTGGCTGCCAACCAGCCCGTTCCTCTTTGTCTTCCGGCTACCGTTCCTGCTCAAAATATTCTCGAGCTTTCCACCTCCGAAAGCGAATCAAATGTTCTTGGTGCCACCACTGGCCCCCTGATTGCTGTTCCCGTTGGGCCTGAACCTCACCAACATTGTCCCTTGCACACAAGTCTAAATGACCAAAATTCTTCTGAAAATAAGAATGGGCAAGAGAACCCCAAATTATTGAAGAAAATAGTCCCTTGTACCACAAGTATCCCCTCCAGCTCCTCAGCAGCTGCCACTAAAGTGAACCATGGAGGCAAGACCTGCCCGAGTATACTGGATTTCAGAAGTGATTTTCAAACCACCTTTGTAGTTTCAGTTACCACCACAGTCTGTTCCCAGCCTCCTAGATCTGCAAGTGATTCCTGTCCAATGAGCATTAGCAAGGGTGCAGACTCAGCAAGTGTCAGCACAGCAGTGGCCCCGCCTGCCCCTGGAGGAGGGAAGACCACCACTCCTGTAAGCACTCTTTCTGCAAACCCTTTGGATAATGGCTGGGCTCGCTCTTGTTCTTTGCCTTCTTCAGCTGTTAGTGCTTCAGATATGAAAAACATTAATAGCCTTACTCGAATTTCCTCAGCTGGAAATACTCAGACAACGTGGACTACTTTGCAACTGGCAGGAAACACTATTCAGCCCTTAAGCCAGACACCATCTTCTGCTGTGACTCCAGTATTAAATGAGTCTGGTACTAGCCCCACCACAACGAACCACAGTAGACACAGATCTACCGGGGTCAACTTGAATAATTCCTTTCCAGCAGATGGGCAGCCAGTTGAGCAAGTAATTGTAACCTTGCCTTCTTGTCCATCCTTACCTATGCAGCCACTAATTGCCCAGCCACAAGTTAAATCTCAGCCCCCCCAAAATATCCTTCCATTGAATTCAGCAATGCAAGTGATTCAGATGGCTCAGCCAGTTGGGACAGCTGTTAATGCAGCTCCAGCTAATCAAAATGTTATCATTCTTCAGCCTCCCAGCACCACTCCATGCCCAACAGTGATGAGGGCAGAGGTTCCCAACCAAACCGTAGGTCAGCAGATAGTAATCATACAGGCAGCTAATCAAAATCCTTTGCCCCTCCTCTCAGCTCCAGCTCCCAGTTCTGTTCGGTTTCCTGTCAATGGAGCCAATGCTATAATAGGGTCTAATTCAGTACAAAATGTTTCGACTCCACAGACTTTTGGGGGAAAGCATCTTGTCCACATATTACCAAGACCTTCATCATTATCAACATCTAATTCAACACAAACTTTTTCTGTTACCATGTCAAACCAACAACAGCCTCAAACCATTTCTTTAAATGGACAGCTCTTTGCTTTGCAGCCTGTGATGTCTTCATCAGGAACTACAAACCAAAACCCTATGCAAATTATTCAGCCTACCACCAGCGAAGATCCAAATACCAATGTTGCCCTGAATACGTTTGGCGCTTTGGCCAGCCTCAATCAAAGCATATCACAGATGGCTGGGCAAAGCTGTGTACAATTGTCTATTAGCCAGCCTGCCAACCCTCAAACTGCTGCAAATAGTCAAACCACCCCAGCTAACTCTGTTTCATTAACAGCAACTGTAGCATCTCCCATGACAACAGATAGTTCAGCCACACTACCCAGTATTTATAATTTAGTGACTACTCCCTCAGTGAACACTGTAGCGTGTTTGTCTAATGTGAAATCAAAAAGGTTGAATAAGAAGCCAGGTGTCAAGAAACACTTAGCAGCTAACAAGTCAGCATGCCCCCTGAATTCAGTCAGAGATGTGAGCAAAGCAGACGGCCCCAGCACCGAAGGCTCAGCAGAGCCACCGTGTAATGCTGGACTGCTGGAAAGCCCCCCTCTTGTGTTGCCATCTGTCGCTGTGTCCCAGGCAAAGAGTACTGTAAGTCTTTCTGGTTCACATCCTTTGGATGTTCTGAATTCAGAATCAGTGACAACTGAGTCTTTACCCAAATCTAAGTCAGCAGAAGAGTTTAATTCATCCTCCCACGAATCTGTAACAAGTGAACATTTAGCAATGGCCTCAGCAAAATCCAAAGATTCTGCCCCCATAGTGGAACGAGAGACATCTCAGGATAAGCTACCGACGAGTTTGGCGTTGTCCGATGCTGCCAAACCCTGTACTTCAGCCAACATGTTGATTTCACCTTCAGATGATCCCCACATTTTGGTTTCTCAGGTTTCTGATTTGTCATCTGCCACGAGCACCACAAGTACCGATTCTGTTTCTGAGGTAGAAATCATTGCTGAACCTTGCAGAGTTGAGCAAGATTCATCAGATAGAATGCAAACCCCAGGTCTCTTAAAGGAGCAAGGTTTAACTGCATTGCTATCTGGCCTTGCTAAAGAAAAAGACCCTCAGAAATCATCTCTTTCAGACCAGATGGGCCATCCTGACTTTTCTTCAGAAAATTCTAAAATAGTTGATTCAAGTATTGATTTCCATCCCAAACAGGAGTTGTTACTGATGAACAGTGAGGATAGAGATCCAGGACAGCATCATTCCTGCACCCCTGACCACGAGGGTATTCACGGTTCTTTGCTCAGCAGTAGGCAGGCTGACTCTCCCATGTCAACCAGCTCTGGCAGTAGTCGTAGTTTCTCAGTTGCATCCATGCTTCCTGAAACAACCAGAGAGGATGTCACCAGCAATGTAACAACTAATACGTGTGACAGCTGTACCTTTGTAGAGCAAACTGATATAGTTGCTCTCGCAGCAAGAGCTATTTTTGACCAGGAGAACCTTCAGAAGGGAAGACCTGGCACCCAGGCTGATATAAGGGAAGTTACTTCAAAGCCTTCTGAAGCATCATCTTTAGAAGGAGACCAGCCTTTCAAAACACAGATCTCTAAAGAGAATGGCCCAGGTCAGGCAGAATCAACACCAAATGAATTTAATTCTCAGGATTCAATCGAAGCAACTATGGATAGGCCCCTTGAAAAACCAAGTTGTTCTGTAGGAATTAAAACGTCAAATGCCTCTTTGCAGGTTTCGACTTGTCAGCCACCAAACATCACCAGTTTAAGTGTGAATAATCTTATCCATCAGAGCAGCATCAGCCATCCTCTCGTCAGCTGTGCTGGATTAACCCAAACTTCAGAGCAAACAGCTGTTCCTGCTTCAGTTAATCTGACTGTTTCATCTAGTTCCTATGGCAATCAGCCTCCTGGGCCATCTCTGATGACTGAATATTCCCAAGAACAACTAAATACTATGACTGGTACTATACCAAATCCACAGATTCAAGAGCCACTCTTAAAGCCAAGTCATGAAAGCCGTAAGGACTCTGCTAAACGTGCTGTCCAAGATGACCTTCTACTGTCTTCAGCTAAACGTCAAAAGCATTGTCAGCCAGCCTCCCTCAGGCTTGAAGGTATGTCCCTGATGAGCCGAACTCCAGACAGCATTTCTGATCAAACTCAAATTATGGTTAATCAGATCCCTCCCAACTCTTCAAACTCAGTTGTGCCTATTAGCAACTCAGCACATGCAGATGGCCTTACACGATTATTTCCACCTACTAACAACTTTGTGGCCCCTGCACTGAGGCAAGCTGAAGTTCAGTGCAGTTCTCAGCCTTCAGTTGCTGAGCAGCAGCAAACCCAGGCCAGTCAACATCTGCAGGCCCTGCAACAGCATGTTCCAGCTCAAGGGGTATCTCACCTACACAGTAACCATCTCTACTTGAAGCAGCAGCAACAGCAGCAAGCAGGGCAGTTAAGAGAGAGGCATCATTTATATCAACTGCAGCATCACATACCTCATGCAGAGAGCTCTGTCCACTCTCAGCCCCATAATGTCCACCAGCAGAGAACTCTGCAACAGGAAGTTCAGATGCAGAAAAAGAGGAATCTTGTTCAGGGCACTCAGGCCTCTCAGCTTTCCTTACAACCGAAGCACCATGGGACTGACCAGTCCCGACCCAAGAGTAGTCAGCCACATCCCCACCATCCGCAGATACAGCAACAGATGCAGCAACACTTTGGAAGCTCCCAGCCAGAGAAGAGTTGTGAAAACCCTTCAACTAGCCGGAACCACCACAACCATCCCCAGAACCATCTCAGTCAAGATATTCTGCACCAGCAGCAGGATGTTGGAAGCAGGCAGCAAGGATCAGGGGTTTCTTCTGAACATGTATCCGGGCATAATCCAATGCAAAGGCTCTTGACATCAAGAGGCATGGAACAGCAAATGGTGTCCCAACCAAGTATTGTGACTAGACCTTCAGATATGACCTGTACTCCACACAGACCAGAGAGAAATAGAGTTTCAAGTTATTCTGCTGAGGCACTCATTGGGAAGACATCTTCTAACTCAGAGCAGAGAATGGGTATATCGATTCAGGGTTCTAGAGTTTCAGATCAGCTTGAAATGAGAAGTTATCTTGATGTACCCAGAAATAAGGGTTTGGCCATTCATAATATGCAAGGTCGTGTGGACCACAACGTTGCCTCAGAGATCCGCCTTTCTGACTGTCAGACGTTTAAACCCGCTGGATCCATTCAACAGCCCCAGAGTAATTTTGAAGTACAGTCTTCAAGAAATAATGAAATAGGTAACTCTGTATCGTCAATGAGGAGTATGCAGTCTCAGGCTTTTCGAATTAGTCAAAACCCTGGTCCACCACCAATTGACCGCCAAAAGAGATTACCTTATCCACCAGTTCAGAGCATCCCAACAGGAAATGCTATCCCAGCAAGGGACAGTGAAAATACATGTCATCAAAGTTTCATGCAGAGTTTACTTGCCCCTCATCTTAGTGATCAGGTCATTGGAAGCCAGAGATCACTCTCAGAACATCAGAGGAATACACAGTGTGGTCCATCCCCTGCTATTGAATATAATTGTCCCCCAGCTCATGAAAGTGTCCATATTAGAAGAGAGAGTGAAAATCAGAATAGGGAAAGTTGTGATATGTCCTTAGGTGCAATTAACACCAGGAACAGCACCTTGAATATTCCTTTTTCAAGTTCTTCTTCCTCAGGAGATATTCAAGGCCGAAACACAAGTCCCAATGTTTCTGTACAGAAGTCCAATCCCATGAGGATTACTGACAGTCATGGGACCAAGGGCCACATGAACCCTCCAGTCACAACCAACATGCATGGGGTTGCAAGGCCAGCTTTGCCACACCCATCTGTGTCTCATGGAAATGCTGATCAAGGGCCTCCTGTACGTCAAACTAATTCTTCAGTTCCTCAGCGATCAAGGCATCCCTTGCAAGACAGCAGTGGTTCCAAAATTCGTCAGCCTGAACGGAATCGTTCTGGAAACCAAAGGCATAGTAATGTCTTTGATCCAAGTCTTCCCCATCTTCCTCTGTCTGCTAGTGGCAGTATGATTCTTGGACGCCAACAACCCACTACAGAAAAGAGAGGAAGTATTGTTCGTTTCATGCCTGATAGCCCACAAGTACCTAATGATAATTCAGTGCCTGATCAGCATACACTATCACAAAATTTTGGTTTTCCTTTTATTCCTGAGGGTGGCATGAATCCACCAATAAATGCTAATACTTCTTTCATTCCACAGGTTACTCAGCCTAGTGCCACTCGAACTCCAGCCCTCATCCCTGTAGATCCCCAAAATACTTTACCTTCCTTCTATCCCCCATACTCTCCTGCTCACCCTACACTGTCCAACGACATTTCAATCCCCTATTTTTCAAATCAAATGTTCTCAAATCCTAGCACAGAGAAGGTAAACAGTGGAAGTTTAAATAACCGATTTGGGTCAATTTTGTCTCCTCCAAGACCTGTTGGTTTCGCTCAACCAAGTTTTCCTCTTCTCCCTGATATGCCACCAATGCACATGACCAACTCTCACTTATCCAATTTCAATATGACATCTTTGTTTCCAGAAATAGCTACAGCTCTTCCTGATGGCTCAGCAATGTCACCTTTGCTTACAATCGCAAACTCCTCCGCCTCTGACTCTTCCAAGCAGTCCACAAACAGACCTGCCCACAACATAAGCCATATTTTAGGTCATGACTGCAGTTCAGCTGTTTAAACACTGATAGACTAAAAGTAAATGTAACAGGTGAGATCACAACTGTATGTGTGTGCATGCACATGTACATGCATGTGCAGAGGGAGATTGCGTGTGTGTATGCCTTTGTGTTCAGATTATGAGACTGACGCGCTGCCTACTGCGCTGAGGGCACCTTCCTTTGTGTTCATATAATCAATTTCTAATTATCTTCTGAATGTCGGGAAGCCATGTCAGAGATGATGCAAATACTAGGTTGTCAAATTATCTTTCATTTTTAACTGCATCATGTGTTTTTTTATATTTTTCAAGCAGATTTGCATTTTGAAGTTTGATTTGTAATATTTCCTAAATATTAATCAGCTGCAAGTTGGGTGAGATAATCTTGGCATTTGTTGGGTAGTAGGAAGGAACCTAGGTTTTGAACTTGATTGTTGAAAGTATGTAAAATAGTTGAAATAGTTGAATTGTTCTCCAAAAATACAGATAATTCTATATAGTACAATGGCTTATAACCAAATGCTGTGTATGTCAGCATCTAGAATGGAATCTTACCCATGGCAGGTGTTGAATTATTATAGAATGAATGTCCATGGTTAAAGGCAAGCAGTTAGCAAATAAATGAGTTGTTTAAGGTCAGCCATTATTCCCAATATTCGGTTTAGGTAGAGGCTTCTTTTGTAACTATAACAGTAAATTATCTGAGTTTCATGTCTTGTTCCTCAAATTAGAGACCTATGTTATCCTTTAATGTGCCAAGATCCTTTAAAGCAAAGGTCTTCCTTAAACAGTTAGCCTTAAAAATAGAAAGCTAAAAAGAAAAGTACACAGATACCCTGCATTTTGTGCTTGCATTTTGCATCAGACCATAAGGATAAGAGCAGTTCTGTTGTGGAGTTTTGCATGCGTTCAGTCAAAGATTGTTGTTTCATCAGTTGTGTTTTGTTTTCATTAATTCTGTTTATTGATCTTGAAGTAAATTCTTTTACATTTGTTTAATCAGTAGGGAGTGGTCAGTAAACAGTGTGTTTGGAAACATAATTATTTGAGCCTTACTTTAAAAATATTTTGCAAGGTCTTAAGCTCTGTCCTAATTTTCAGTTATTGATATTTATGTTTAAAATATGGCATTGTATATTGCATTATTATCCTTCACAGTAGAATTATAATAAGATGAATTTGTTCAGTATTTTTCCTGATGGTAGATGTGAAATGGTGCTTCAGAAATTGTCTTTATATATGTCTGTGTGTATGTGTGAATGTGTGTGTACACATAGATTTTAAAGTATAAACTGGTCATTTAAAAATAGGCCTGCCATCTGAAAATGGGAAATTGAGACCCAAGACCTGCTGAAGTATAGAAAAACTTGATGTAGGGGTTTTAAAAAGCCCCACTGAAGTTACTAATAAACCTAAAAAAATATACGTATATACTTAAAGTTTTCAAAATTCAGTATAGAAGTCAACAACCGTATATGCTCGTATTCTCGAACCCACTAATTTTTGTTGTTATATTCTGCCAAAACTGGGATGAAGTGGGAGAGATTGTGGCAGAGCATATAAATTGTTCTGTCTGTTAACAAAGTGAACCCAAGGACCAGCATTTCCCCCTCTTCCTTAAAAAGCCTCCTAGGACTTGGTTAGAGCAGTGAACTCCAGTGAATACCTCTTCTAAAGACTCAGCAAAAGGGTCATCTGTGCCTCTTCAACTGTTCTTAACCAAACTTTCCCATCTACTCGTGCTGCGGATAGAAACAGCCTTCTGGGGGCAAAAAAATATATATTGTAAATGAGAAAAAACTTTTGTATTTTCTCCCTTCAAAATGATGGTGGCGAGGAATAGGAGAGCTTCATGAATAAGTTATTCCACAAGACCACATATAAAAACACAGTAGTTAGAAGTTTAAATTGAGAAAAAATGTGATATTTATTACTTGTTTTTAAATTATTTTAAGTGAGCTTTAAACTTTAACATTCAAGTTTTTCTTGGTACTTGAAAGATCCAATCTGCTCGTTTCAAGGACAGTTTTCAGTGTATTGTTTATTCTGTCTGCGTCTCACACAACCACACACGCACACGCACACAGTGGCTAGTGAGTTCTGCAGAATTGGGGGCTCTTAGGTATAATCGGAACTAAGGTAATAAGCTAAGGAGAAACTTAGTTTGAACATTGCAATGAAAAGGCCTCAAAGCCTGGAACTTTCAGATACTTCACTGTTGCATTGATTGTATTTTTCTCTTCAGCTCTGTTCAGAGGTACAGTTCTCAGAGCTTTCATTCCAAGCCTGTAACACTTTGATCCTGAATGATTCTTTATCCCTAAAGAAGGCTTCTCTGACCACCCTAGGAAAGATGTCACCATCTGCAAGTAATTTGGCTCCTGCTTACATGTAGCTCTAATTATTTTACAGAAATGTGTGTGTATATATGTATGGATATATGTATGTGTGTGTGTATATATGTATGTATCTATATATACACATACAGTGTGTATATGTGTATATATACACATATACGTATATATGTGTGTATATATATATATATATATATATATATATATATATATATATATATATGAGGTCATTTTACACAGGAACTCAAGTCTGTAAGGGTTCCGAGCATAGTAATTTTATTTAACTTAAAAGCACAAGTGTATGAGATCTACCAGCAGTATTGAGTACATGATAATTAGAGCTACCTGATTTTGGGGGTGGAATTTATCTTAATATGTAGTGATCTCAGGATATCATTTTTGGCAAAGGATTGGCAGAGAGCATAGTCAATTTTGGTTATAGTAAATTTAATGTTATCCTTGGCTTGCTAATATATGACTATAGCATGTAAAACCATTTTGACAAATAATTTTTTAATTTTGGAAATACACAAGCTTATGTGTGAGTTGTAAATGAGAGTCACTGATTCAATCAATTTTCTCTTGGTATTATTAATCACATGGAATCAGTTACAGAAAGTGGTTGATTCCTCTAAACATTTAACACAGTAACTTCTGATGAGGTGAAAACTTTGAGATTTTTCATCACGTATAAACTTTTAGTGTGTGAATCATAGATAAAACAAATCAAGTTTTGTGTAATTTTTTTTATTTGTACAAACAGGTTGTTTTGGAATGTTTTTTACCACTTCAGGACATTTATTTTTTGTTTTTATTGTGAGACCCTCTGGTGGTGTCAGAGATGGTCCCTGTTTCCAAGGAAGGACTGAAAATTCCAGAGTGATCATGCTTCATACAATTTTATATATCAAACTGTGGGGAGAGAAAAATGAGGAAGGAATGTTCTTTTGCCGCCATTTTCAGTCACATATCAAGGTGTACTTCAACGAGGATAAACTTTTAAAATCAGCTTTTTAAAGTAAAAAATTATTTAAGCAAATTTATTTAAAATTATTTTAATGATAATTCACTTGCCTTGCTCTTGCCTTCTAACATTGGCCATTTCCTGGAGGGGCTGAAATGTCTATCCCTCTCCCCCCAAAAATGTGGGAACACATTTAATGGGAGTAAAGTTTTAAAAATTTGAGAAAGCGTAATGACTTACATAAACTTATCTTCTTAGCAATATCCTTCCTTTGATACATAGGTTCCTAGGCTATTCTTTTCATCCATCTGCTCTGTTAAACAGGTGACAGGGAATCTGGTCATTTCCTTAGTGTGATGATTGCTCCTTTGCCTTGAAACATTTATTGGGCACACTATCTATTGGGTCAGTGTGTGACCAGAAGTCATATTCCCAAATAGATGATTCCCAATTTCTGGTTTAGGGAACTAATAAGTCACCCAATCTCTCAAAACAGAAGTAAGTCAAAATTGATTTAAAATATTTAATGTGCCATATAGTTCTGTTCCTTGTTTTAATGAGCATCCCCCTGCCCTCCATGGAGTGAGGAAAGGGCAAAGCTGATCCCGAAAGACAGCTTTAGGTTGCTATCCTTAGGAACCTGGATGTCATTGTAATTCTGTTGTCTATGTAAACCCTGCCTTTGCCTGGAGATAATTGCCTGTGGCTTTGTACATCCAGAGGGCAGTAGTAATAGCCAGAGAAACTAATGTGAAGTTACTCTGTGAGTGATGATTTATGGTACTTAAATGCACATTAAAGGCCAGAAAATAGTTTCTTGAGATACCTTTTTGGCTACTCTTTCTCCTTCACCAGAGTTTGACATAAAGGGGTCCTTTTTTGGACTTAACCATATTTTCCCTGTATTCTGGACTTCCTGTGTGAGCCTGAGAGTTTTCTGTTGAGTCTGTGGGGGACATCAAGATTAAATTGAGGCAGTCCAGATATGCCAGGAGGAAGGGTTAAGGGCCTTCTTGGACAGAGTTTCTTTCTAGTTCTGCTCACATGCCTCTTCTCTGGTACTGCACTTTACTGAAACTGTGCCTCTGGTCCTAAGACCAGCCATTGGAACATACTACTCACCTGCTCCTCTGTTACAGCAAAGACCAGCCAGGATGGTACCTGTCAAGTAATCAAACACCTGGAAGACAAGTACAGTTGATGTTTCTCACTGTTGCCTTATCATTCTCTGAGCCATCTTCGATTCCAAACTTGTAAAAACAACAGCAAACAAACTTACTAGGTAGAAGCAAAACTCCTTTTAAACTCTGCTTGTATGTGTTGGTCATCTAACATCCTTATTTCTAGATTTGTGCAAACCACAACATCCTTATTTATAGATTTGTGTAATCTTTTTTCGTCTTGTGCATGTGTTCAGATGCTACATAAACACGAGCCAACTTGCATTGAAAATATTGGCATAATATCCAAATCGGTGTTGTTTTTGATGATTGCATAATCCTCATTAGAGATATCATGAGTCGTAGAAGATAACTGTTTGCAGTTTAACCTTTTGAAAAATGATCCTGAATATGTATTTATTTTGGGGGGTCAGCTGTGTGTTTGGTTTCCATCATACTGTGTCACAGGAACTTAATGTTTACTCCCGCCAGATGCCCTCTTCACTTTTCTGAATCTCTGTTCCCCATCCCCTGAGTCTGAAAACCATTTTTCATCTGTGAGGTCATTGAGGCACTGGACTTGATTATGTTGGTAACTTTTAGGGGGAGTCGAACTGTTGATCTTCCAAGAAGAAAGGGACCAGACAGTGTTGCTTAAAATGCTGCAATTGTGTTACTGTGAAGAAAAGATTTGCTTCCACTTTCAGCAGGCCGTAATGTATTCATTCTGGTGAAAAATATGTGGGGAAATCTGAGACATAATCACCTTCACAAACTACAGATACACTGGGCGGGAAGCTTACTGTTAGGGCAGTCACCAGAAACAACCCTATAACCGTAATGCTTTCAATATGTAATAGTTGTAGCTATTTCCATGCCAGCAATGTCCGCTGTGCACTGTGTCCTATTACTGTAAATCACCTTGTTTATTATTCTAATGGGAGTTAACTTGTTTTGTAATGAAATCCAGAGCAGATATGTATAATATGATCAGGATTGTCCTACTGTTGTAAATAAGAATAAGGTCCTGTTTATTTTGACATCTTTTTACAAATGCATTGTATTAGGGTGTGAATATTCCGAACCATGCTCTTGTTTAAAGTTTTGAAATTTTTATTGGTAAATGTAACATTTTAATGGTTGTAATAATTATTTGTATAGATATGAATATAGTATTTTATTTAAGAAAATAAACTTTGCATTTTTGCATTGTGAATTCTGTCTTTCCTGGTCATGGCATGTGCTACTAAAGCCTGGTATGAAAACAACTCCTCTCTAACGCTAAAGTCCTACATTCGAGTAATCTTTAAATAACTTTATTTTGCCAAAGGGTCTGAAATAATAATGTGACACATTTCCCCTGGGCATTGTGTTCCTGATTAGTCAACTTCAAATAAATCACAATTATGAGCAGCACTATTTTTAGAACAGACTATATACCTCTACCCTTATTGTAAATAAAACTAGAATTTCAGATCTAGAGGAACATTGAGAGAGGAGTTGGTTTACACCCTTCCTTGCATTTTATAGTGGAGGAGACTAAAGCATAGAACTTCAGGACGAGAATCAGGTCTTCCGTTACTGCCACGTGAGCTTGGTCACCTCTCACCAGCATTTGCCCAAGTTTCTCATAAGTTTGAGGGAGAAAACACGCCACAGAGGAGCTTGTAGAGGATAAAGCTATATAAAGCTGAAGTGCCTATAAGTTAAACTAGTATTTAGGGGTAGCCTGGAGATGTAAAAATGATCAATTCAAGAAGTGATGGAGGTCAAGATAATGGATACTTTTTAATAATAGGGCAGTGGTATCAAGAATGGTACTGCAAAAATGAAGTACTCAGGTGTTTATTTCATTTACACCTGAAGTTTTTGTCTTGCAAATGTATAAATATATCTGCAAATTAAAACAAGTAGGGATCATTAACTCCTCCAGGTCCTACAGGAAATTAGAATATTTTCCTTGTTCCAACTTCTCGGGAGTTCAGATTAAAACTGAGTATTCTGTCATGTTACTGCACTCTGACTCTCGCACAGGCCATGGATGTTTTATATATTTTCATTACACAGGGAGCCCTAGTGTACCCTAAAGGGTATACAACCCATAAAAATGTAAACATTATGTATAAATCTGATCTCCCTTAGATGAAAGTGCAAATTGTACAAAGTTTTGTTGGCTTTCCAGTTTAGTTAGATGTCTGAAGGAAAAAGATTTTAATTACCTATCTCTTTTAAGAAGCTATGTGGGGAATTTTCACTGTTAGGTGGGATGTAGGAGCTACTGGCAGGTCAGCAGTCCCATTGCAACAATTAGAACAAAAAGTTGTAACAACCCTATTGAAAGAGCTACCAAAACCCATCAACTGTGAGATAGAACAATGGATTTCAACATGACAATACATGAAAAGTTCACTGATACAGTTTCAAATTCCACATTGCAACTCAAATTCCACAAAGGGAAACTACCCTTTGTTGAGTTTAGGTATATGAAAGAGTAACTACAATTATCTGGAAAGGCTACTCCCTCCTCCAACTAGATATTTCTGTAAGGCTAGATTTTCTTCATACACTTCAAGCAAAATAGATACTCAACAGAGGAAGAGCAGAATCAGAGCTGAGGATCCAGCTGTCTCCTGTTAAACCAGATGTTAACTACGTTTACAACAACTCAAAACACAGTTCTCATAATTTTTTGTTGTTTTGGAAAATGGCATATAAATTTAAATTTTATCATAAAGTTATGTTAGTCTATAATGAGTTTATTGCTATCTTTAAACTAATAAATATTAAAAATTTGCCATTTTTATATCTAACATGGTAAATATTGATATAATTTACATAAACAAAAGTATTTTGGGGCCTCAGTAATCTTTAGGACTACAAATGAGTCCTGAGACCAAACAGTTGGAGAAATCATGTTCTAGAAAAAAAGAAAACCCACAGGAAATATTACCTGAGCATAACCATAAAAGAAAAATTGTTATATTAGGCTTTATAAAAATTAAGAATTTCTCATCATCAAATTACAGACTGGCAAAGATTACATATATCAAAAAGAAAAAGACCCATAAGCTGATTTTTTGAAAATGGGCACAGAACTTGAAAAAAATCTCTCCATATATGGCCAAGAAGTCCATGAAAAGGCGCTTAACATCAGTAATCATCCAAGAAATGCAAAATAAATGGAAATGAGTACCATTGCACTCTCACCCAGAAAGGCTAAAATTGGAGGAATTGGAAAATTAGTTCCAAGTATTGAAAAAGGTGTGGAATAACTAGAACGCTCATCGATGATAATGGGAGTGTAAGTTGGTACAGCCACTTTGGAAAATTGTTGGCAGTTTCCTTTAAAAGTAGAGACTTACCTACTCTGTGATTGAGAAATTCCATAGGGGCACTAAGTATGTACCCTGGGAAAGAATGTCTGTATACATTCACCAAAAGATATGTATAAGAATGTTCATAAAACCTTTCTTTACAGTAGCCCCACACTGGAAACAACCCAAACATCAGTAAGAGAATGGGCGAATGAAAGGTCATCTCCCTAAAAGGGAGCTACTGATACACACACAGATGAACCTCCCAGACATTGCATCAAGTGAAAAGTGCCAGACAAAAAGGAGTACATACCACATAATTCCATTTATATGAAGTTCAAGAGCAGGCAAAATTTATCTATGAGGAGAAAAGTCAGATCAGTGGAACAGACCTGAGGATGTTTTATATCTTAATGTGGGCGGTGGTTACATATGCATATATATGTAACAATTCATGAATAAGTATAAACTTAATACACATGTTGTATATTACTGAATATATTTTATACTCAAATAAAAAGTTAAGAAAGACTATCTGTGGAGGTCTGAACTGATGCTAGTTTTCTTTTGACAAATTTCTTGAGTCAGCCAAATCTCAAACTTACTGTGTTGTCACTGTTCAGAAAAAGAGCCATGACACCATTTCGTATTGGCCTGCCATCAGCGGGCTGTGGGACTTAGGGCAAGAAGTATAACTTATGTGTACCTTAGTTTATTTGTTGCTACGTTATCTGTCCTCTCTCCTTTACAATATTGCTGTGCAGGACAAAGAGGTTTTCTATTTCACGTGTTTTAACACTGTTTCAAAGGAACATTTAAATGCCAAGGGGCGGTTCTTTTCCATGCCCTTCCTCATTTCCGTCCCCCTACATGCGAGACCGAAATGCAGCGTCAGCAGCTTCTGTGACCTGTTTTATGTCTTGTGAGAAATTAAAGAGATAAATACTAATTTGCTGTCTACGTAAGTTCAGAAGTCAGGTAAATTAATTACTAGTATCAATGTACCACTTAATTTTCACATAGCAAAGTAAGCTACAGAGTTTGGGGAAGATACGAAAATCCAGCTTTTAACTATGTGCTGTGCAGTTCTTGCTTGGTGGTGTTTTCTTACACGGTTTAATCACACTCAGATCTGTGGCTGAGAAAGGCTGAAGCTAAATTGTAGCAGCGCAGAACTGACTGGCTCGGGGGAGTTTTCTGGGAGTTCCTGAATCCAATTAGGTTAAATCCCATTTTTTAAAATGTTGCCGAGTGGCAGATGTGCAAATTCACATTAAATATTTTTTCGAAACCCTCAGAAACAGCTTAGTGTAGGGGAAGAAGATTGGTTAGTATGTCAGTGTTTCAAATCAAATCACATTGCTTTGTTGTCTTACCTCCGGACAAATTTAGAAATACTTATCACCATCATCATTGTACCCCGGGTGAAGAGTTACGATTTCCCAGTTCATGGCAGGCTCGCTCTTCTGCCTCAGTTTGGCGAATGAAACCTCTCCCCTGGGAGAGACCCTCCAGCCATCGGGCAGAGGCACGGATTCTGCCCAGCCTACTGGGCCTGCACGGATTAGTTTCTGAGGCAACTTTGGAGGACTTTTCAATTCTTGACAGTGTGTGTGTGGGGGGTGGGGGTGGGGGGAGGTCCAAATGTTTTTTAGGAAATCAAAAAGCCCCTGCATTCCCGTACTTTCTGTCCACTGTTAATTTTGGTTTGGCATCAACAGCCTCCCAGTGGGAACCTTACACCTTATGCAACATGTATTTTAATTTAAAATGAAGCTTTGGTTTTACAGCCCTTTGCCAAGTGCAATCATTGAATTTATAAAAAAGACTTTGGTCTTGAGTTTACAAGCTTAGAAACTGAAGCAGCAGTTCTCGTATAGCCCAGCTGTTCCCGTTTAGAGAGCCAGCATGATCCCAAACTGTAGTTTCATTGGTTGGCTTCCTTCAAAGCACAGTAAGTTTCACTGTGCTCAGATTTATATGACAGACACACATCTTCTGAATTTTGAAAACATCTTCTCTCTTTTATTTTAAAAAATATTTTATTTGTTTTTTAGAGAGCGGGGAAGGGAGGGAGAAAGGGAGAGAAATATTGAAGTGAGAGAATCATTCATTGGCTGTCTTGCACACACCTCCAACTTGAGACAGACCTCAAGTGCTGCCACAATGGAACGAGGCTAAGCCCTGCACCAGCTGGGGACCTGGCCCGCAGGGCAGGCGTCAATCCGGATGGGGAGTCGAACTGGCAACCTTCCGGCTCACTGGCGGGCACTCAATCCACTGAGCCACACCTGCCTGGGCAAAACCTTCTCTTTTTGTTAACAGGTTCAAGAGTTCTATAATTTTAGGCTGTGTATTTTACATATATAGATACATGTACAGATAAATGTTGAATCACTGTGGTACCACGATCCGTCTGTCTTTTGTCTTGTTACTTAAACTACTGATTTCTGACTACCGATCCAGGTTTCTGCAGTATTTGCTTCATAGAGGCCAGTGACTTTCTCCAAGTTTCAGTTTCTCCACCTGGAACCTGGGGGTTATAGTGATACCAACATCACAGAGAGGGTGTTTCAGGATGAAATACATTAATGTACATAAAGCCCTTGGCAGAGGCCCGATGACAGACGTCGGCTGTTACAACGGTCAGTTCTGCCAGCACGCTTATCCTCCAGCGGCGGGGGGGGGGGGGGGGCAGAGTTGCAGCTCCTAAGAACTGGGGAGATGGAGCCATTCATTCTCTTCTTAGAGCTCTTGGCCCACTTACTATGAGCAAATTTCAATTACTTGTTTCATGTACTTCTTCCCTTTTGGACCGTGGACCCCATGACGGAAGAAACTGTGTGTTTTTCCCATTGCTGGGTCCAGCTCCTTTCCGGGTCTGCCCGAGTATTTGGTGATTGTCCTTTGACTGAAGTAGTATTTCTGATTGTACACAAGTCAACAGTGCTATGGCCAGGAAGGAGAGGATAAAGGGGAAGTAGACCCCTTGACAAGCACGTTGCTTTACAAGGTGTCCCACGTTAAGAGAGCAGCAGAGTAAAACTCAAGCCTGCATGTGTCCTTTTCCTTGAAGCCCCCCCCCCCCACCGAACCAGGCACTGAGCCTTGTGGAAAGCTCAGGTGAGCAATGCAATAAAATCCATACAATGCAAATCAACTTTTTTCTCTGATGGCAATGCTATAGCATCCCAAAATAGAGAGCTTTTGAATTATCTCGAATAACCTTTCATTTAGAGGACTTAGAGGCCAAATTCACGAAGAACGTCAAGATTCGGAGGAAACGCGGGGCCGGGAGCTAGCCATCATGAGATTTCTCTCGACCGCACGCAAAAATCTTTCACTGTGTAAACCTCTTGTTTTCTAAGTCATACCTGTAGTGCTGGGGCCAAAGAGGGGACACCCAGACTTTGCTGAGAACTTGACTGAAATATGGTAACACTTCAAGGCTGTTCTGTATTAAGAGACAGTGATCAGCTAGAGTCGATCTCCAGTGACATCGGTGTGTTAGATGGCAGGGAATTCAAGGCAATAAGAAAAAATGTAGAATAGATCCAAGGAATTTTTTAAAAATTTAGAGTTCAGGGGAAAATTATGAAGTCCAATCTAGAGATAGTTAGGTAGAGGGTAGAGCTCTGCTTCCCTCAGATTCAGGGGAGTAAAGGATAATTCTAAGTGAATGATGGGGGCCACTTAGTCTTCCTCATAGTTTAATAAAAATAGAAAGACCACCCTTCAGGAAAGCCGTAGGATGAATTCCAGCCCCCCATTGGAGCTCAGAGCATGAGGCCTTTTCATGGAGGAGCCCCATCCAAGTGAAAACTCTCTTACTGTGGCCTTTCAGAAACTCGGTGGTGGAGGCTGATCTGCACCTCTCGCAAAGCCTATTTGAATTCACATGTGTTAAGGCCTAAGATTTAGCAGGCACTTAACCTTGCTGACAGTGGTGCATTCACAGAGAGGAGATACGAAAACTTAGCCACATTGGTTTATCTTCTCTAAACAGCATAAAAAAAACAGCAAAAAAAAAAATCCTACTTTTAACTGGGCAGAATAGTGGTAAGCAAAGGTTTGCATTGCTTCGGGCAGAGGCAAATGGTATCTTACTCATAATGTTCTTCCTAAATTTCACCAGAGGACATTAGAGTCATTTCCAAACCTGCGTGACCACTCATGCTTCTTTTTTGGCGGGGAACCTGTTTTGTCACTGGGGGGCTGAAGCCCTTCTTCACACAAGCTGGACACCCAAGCTTTCCCCACAGCACATTTGGCGGCCAGGGCGGGGAGGGTGTGGGGGGCGTTTGCCCGTGGCAGCCCCGAAGCAGAGTAGGAATAGCTACTTGAGGGAGGAGAACACCCAGGGCAGAGGAGGCAATAATGAAGTGCGATATCGTACCCAGTTAGACTTCCCCTGTGGTCCCGGCTGTGCTGGCAATTTCTCATTTGAGTTGGAATAGGAGTTTTAAGGGCTAGAGGCAGTAAAACGCAGAAAAGGGGGCAAGACGGAGCTCCAGCTGGGAGCTTGGATGGTCTGAAGAATCTCTGAAGGTCAGGCGGCCTCCCACCCCGCAGGGCCTCCTGGAGCTGAGGGCAGGGAACAGAACAGCTGGTTTTGCTGGTCTGCACATGGCCACCTTTGTCACCCTCGTGCTTGTTGGCATCAGGTAGACGGGGACGGTGAGAATCCTAGAGGTCCAGCAACTCGCCAAAGGTCACACGACAAATGTATTTGGACTAAAGTCTGACTCGAGAATCCTTCTCCAACTGTACTGTTCCTTTCATGAGAAGTGTTTATTTTTGCTTCTCTCTTTCCCCCAAGTTTTACACAGAGAGACTGCCTCCCAGAATGAGAAACATGTGTGTATTATTTAATTCACTGACACAGGCATTTTGTGGTCCCACAGAACATTCTGGTGGCTGTTTGGAGCTACAAAGGAGGCAGCTGCCACTTTCTTTGTCCTGGGAGCTGGCTCGGTGACCTCCTCCAGTCATGGAAAGTCCCATCCTCAGACAGACTCCGGTTTCCACCGGCTTCGAGTGCTGCTAAAATAAAGCTGGGCTAAGCCCTCAACCATCCAGCATCAACAGGTGGCGTGGCCTCTCCGGCATTCACCAGAGGTGTGAAGGGGTTATTTTTTATGTGACTGCTTGCCCCTCGGGCTGCCACACTGCTGTCCTGCTCCAGCTGAACTGCTCTTGTTACCCCTGGGCCTGCTCTGGCAGGGGCCTCTTCGCAGTGGCTGTTTTTCTCCAGTTACCGTCCTGCTGGACTTGGCTTTCAGAGCCGCTGTCCCTTTTCTTTTGAAGAGTGAAATCCATGAGCTCAGGCAGAAGCTGCTCAGGCACTGCACTGCACACGGACGGGGGACGGTGCAGCCCTGAAAACCTCTGCTCGCGCCTCCGCCCCGCACTCCTACCCACCCCGCTGGTGCTGTCGAGCCATGTCCTTGAGTCCTCCACCCACAAGGTGGGCACTGCAGGAAGAATGGGCAACAAGTGCCTTTAGACTTGACGTGTGGAAGAGTGGGCTTGGGCTGGGTTTCTAGTCCTGCCGTAGAGAACAGAACTGACCGCAGTGCCTGGGTGAATGACGCCACACAGAAGATGGAAACCGGTCCAAGAGTACAGCAGCCCGATTCGCCCGTTTCCACGGGGCCTCTCCCCACGGCCCTGTCTCTCAAACAAGCTGCCAAAAGGCAATGAGTCTCAGCATTTATTCACTTCAGGCCACAAGGCGACTTGGACAGTGTTTACATTTCCTTAGTGGATCTTTTTAAAGGGGATTTGGTTCAAATCAACCATAGTTACACAGATTCAAAATTTCTTTTAGATGTTAGACTAACACGGCCATGTAATAGGTGGCCTTCATAAGGCCTATGGAAGCCAACAATATTTTTACATTTTCAAGGGAGTTTTTATTTTATGGAATGCTTTTCACCAGTATGAACTTACCCGATTGTAGCACAACCGCGTGAGGCAAGGCTTTTGTCCCCAGGATGGATGCCAACAATTTTTAAGGAATAAAGTGTAACAGAAGACCAATGACAAGTTTGATGAAATAATAAAATATTCATTAACAGCATCTTTTTTTTAAATGAGGGAAATTTTGCTGTTCAACTTCCAAAGTGTGTTTTGAACATTCTTCGGATATTTGAGAGGAGAATAGTTTTTTAAAAAAGAGAATGGCTGACCCACTTCTCTAAGGAGTGATCAGGAAAGCAGAGGGGACAGGCGACTTCAGTTCCACGGGCAGATGGGTCTCTGTGTGCACATTGGCGAGCACGTGTCCCAGGTCCATCGTATGCAGGCAACAAGGAGCCCGGTCACAACGGGACTCTCAGGGGCGGAGCTGCCTGACAGTGAGCAGGGAAGTGGGGTGCTGGCCTCTCTCAAGGCCTTGCTGGGGAGACCATGAGAATCATTGGGTGCCAGCAAGACAATCCTAAATCCTCTGTGCTCTTTGCAACTAGGGAGTTAGAGTAACATGCATTCACCCTGAGAGCCACTTCTCGAGAATCCAGGGAGAAAGTCTGGAGGCCCTGGTCCGCATAAAGTGGCCACAGAGGGGCTGGGTCAGGGGGAGAGGGACCCCTAGTGCAGCGCCCCTGGGGTCACTCATTCCTTCCACAAAGGTGCCGCGGGCACAGAATTGCGCTGGTTGAACTGGAGGCAGGCGGAAGTGCTTTTGCCTTGGTTGTGTTAGTTCCAGGAGCCCAAGTCCTTTGGGTGGGGCCTGGTGGCTGGATGCTGACTGCTGTCCCCTCTCTCTCAGCACTGTCGGTCGTTTCTCTTGCTCCGCCTACCAACAGAAAAGTTCTCTCACTTCCCCGCCACCTTAGAGCCAGTCTGTGGAGCAATGGGGCCTGGTCCCTTCTTCTCAAGAAGGCAGAGTCTGAGTTATGGGGTCAGCACACAGCAGTGAGATGAAGACACCAAGGAATAAGTAAGCACCCAAGCCCTGGTCCCAGGGATGAATTAGGAGGACTGTATGACAAGGCCCAATCCAGAGTCTCCCTAAGGAGGTCAGGGACCTGGGGGAAAACAAACAGCATTCCTTCTGAGGAGGCTATGAGCTGCTGCTGATAAAACGTCTATCCCAATGGGGTAGGGCATCGGGTCCACTGGCTACCAGACTCTGAGGCACCGTGTCACCCCAGGACCCTGGAGAAGCGAGCTGTTGTGTTGTGCAGCAGGTGTCTGAAAGGTGCAAAGGGGCCCACCTAAGTCTCTGGGTGGGGAATCCGGGCTGCTGACCTTTGTGGGCATGGGGTCAGCTGGAGAAAAAAATGCAGCATCATTCTGCCATTGCTGGTGAGTACCAGGTGAGGGTGGGGGCGGTCACAGGACAGTGAACCGACTGATGCAGCGTTTCTCTGGTTTCAGAGTTGCAACATGAGGGGATGGGGGCTTTCTCCGCTGTTCAGGGCTTGCCCTCGTCCACAGCCGCCGCTTCCTTTCTTCCCCGCGTCCTGCAGATCTGAGTCTCCTCTGCTCCTGCCCTCCCCATGCGAGTGTGTGCAGAGCCGACTCCACAGGGGTTGAGTGGAGCGTTTGGCAGTGGCTACTGTGCTGTAGGCCCCACGTGTTTTTAGGAAACAGCACCAAGATTGATGGCTCCCTCATCCCCCTCTTAAAGCTGGACGCTTAGAAGACAGGGATCTGGTCCCTCCGAACCACATCCAGGTCATCATCCAGGGTTAACAAAACCTGAAAGGTGAGGGCGGAGAAATGAAACAAACACACGGTCACAGCCACATTGAGTAGCTACTTTCTCTCTGAGACTCACACAGACGGAACCTGTAAGTGCCCTCGCTCATTTTCATGTCTTCTGCAGCTTTCTACAATGCTGCACTCTCAATAGGCATGTATTATAATACATAGTTCATTTATTAATTAATTCAAATATTTATCACAGGTCTAGCATGTGCTATTCCAGGTGCTGGAGATTAGCTTGCAGTGAAAGAGGCAAAACATCCTATCGTCCTGGAGCTTGCATGCGAGGGAGGGCTCCAGAATACATGAGTAATGTATGTGTAGTGTGTTAGATAGAAATATGTGCTGGGTATAGTATGTTAGATGGTCATATGCACTAAGGATAAAAATTAAATAATGGAGAGAACATGAAAAGTATAGGGTGGGAGAGGTAAAATAATTTTGAGAAGGACCATTTAGGTCAAGACCTAAAGGAAATAAAGTCTTATTGCAGAAAGTGTTGCTGCCCAGAAAGTGTACCCTCCCCCTCTATTTTTACGCCCCAGCACCGCCGCTCTCTCCACTGGGACCCTTCACTCCACTTTTGTTGTCTCTCTTCTTTCTAATGAAAGTGACTCAAAAATAAAAGCCTTGAAGAATGATTGTACAGATTAAACTTCCAAAACTGGCCACCAGGGGGTAGCCTTGCTCCACTTTCGAGGTTATAAGGCTTGCAGAGAGCGCTTAAACCCCACAGTGTCTGGAGCCCTGGCCACCTGCTCCTGTTATTTGTCCCCCGCACCTGTATAGGTGCCACAGACTTCTATTTGGAAAATCAAAATTAATATAAAAGGATCCCAGGAGGTATCATCCAAGGATCTTATAATACGTTTGGCTTCTGGGAAAATGTTGGGGTAAAAAATAGATGGAGGGACTAAAGGAAAGATTTGGAACTGACTGGTTAGAAGGTCATGGAGGCCTGGATGCTATCCTAAGCCACTCCAGGAGTTTGTAAGTTATGCGTAAGCTGTTCCGTGAGGCTGGAAGAGGAGGAGGAATGTGAGTCTAGCATAGGAAGGCGTAACCTAATGTTACCGAAGTTTTAAAGGACGCCCACGGTGATGCCTGGGGCATTCTGGGCACATGAGTTCCAACGACCAATTCAATCCGAACCTTGTGCGGCTTAAGGAAAACCATTTTGTCAGTCTATGTCTTAAAATACTGAATAGTAAAGAAAAATTAAACACCAAACCAAAAGATAACATAAAGAGAAAATCTGTACACTGAATTACACTGAGGAATTGAAAAGGGAAATTAAGAGAAGACTACAAAACAGGATATAAGGCAGAGGGGAAGAAGAAAAAGAGCACAAGATTCGAGAGAGAAGAAATTAACAAAAAAAAAGGTGTTATAAACTCACCAAGAATGAGAAAAACAGGGCAGTGGCAGACAGGAAGTGCCAGATGTCATGCTCATCAAAGAAGTCCAGCAGGACACATTCCCGGTTCTTCTCCCGGGATTCGGCCGGGGTTCCCTGCGGGAAGGGGAGGCGGGATGTGGGCGTGCAATCCCACAGCTCAGGTGTGCAGAGCGCTGAGCAGCCAAGCTACACAAATGCAAACGCCTAGCTCAGAAACTTCGCTTCCAAGAAAACACATAGTCACTCACACACACACACACAGAAACTTGCACATAAATGTTCACAGCAGCATCATTCGTAACAGCCCCAAAGTGGAAACAACCCAACTGTCCATCAACTGATGAGTGAATAAATAAAACGTAGTGTATCCACACAACAGAATATTGCATAGCAATAAAAATACATGCAGTACTGATAAAGCTAAGGCTTGGATGAATGTAGGAAACACTATGCTAAGTGAAGGAGGTCAGACTGAAAAGCCTGATGGTATATGAGTTCACTCATATGAAGTGTCCAGAATGGGCAGATCTACAGAGACAAAAGATAGGTTAGTGGTTGCCCTGTGGCTAAGGCGTTCAGGAGAAACGCGGAGTTAATTTCTGGAGTGAAAAACATTCCACAGTCGATCGCGGTGGTTGTGAGGATGGAGTGGAGACTTCCCTGCCCTGCAGCCCAGCAATATCATTAATGTCCTAGGCCTCGGCTTTCCAGTCTATGAGGTGGGTGTCTAGACACCTGCACCTGGGCATTTGTTTGTGGATGAGGATGATGAGGAGAAAGGTGGAGAAGACACACTAATCAAGGTTTCTGCATATGTTAAACATTCTCTGAGAACAGGATTGTAACAAAATACACACGGCAGATCAAATTTGCAGAGTGTGGGCGTTACGCACTGAGGAGTGCTACTCTGATCACGACGACAATGCGCCCTTCGTCGAGATGGTAAAGCTTTTAGAGAAAGCTTTTGCTTTAGAGATACCAAAAACATTAGCCAGGACAAGCACATGGAGAGAGGGAGGCAGGGTGCTGAAAAGGCGGGATGGAAAGAGAATATCACGTTGGAAAAGGAAACTGTTCTCTTACCTCCCAGCTGCTGAGATTCTGGAAGAAAAAATACAGGGCGGCAGCCCACAGCACAGCGGTAGCCACGATGCAGACGAGCGGGATGGGGAGGACCTTCTCGGAGCTGCGGAGCTGTGGGCGGGAAGCAGAGGCTGCGGTTCGCACTGCCGGCCTGGGTGGGGCGCTGCAGGCCCCCAGTCGCCTCGCTTACCTTCATGATGATGTAGAAGGCCAGGTAGAGCAGCAGGTTACAGATGAAGATGCCCAACATGTAGGAAGCGAAGTCCCTGGGTCGGTAGATCAGTCCAAAGAGGGCACTGTGCACACGGGCAGGAATTATTTTGCAGCCATGAGGGTGGATTTGTAACATTATTGACTTTTTTTGCTTTCCCACTCTCATTTTTGCAAGGAGGAGAATTTATAAAGAAAAATAAACCTCTTTAACATATGAGTAACTTTTAACGGATTAAGCCTCCTTCAGAACATTCATTTTTAACGATGGTAAAGCTCCCATAAGTGGATGCACCACTAAGAATCATACTTGCTGTCTGGTTGAAACGAGTTTTCCCTTCGTGTGACAGCCAAAGAAAGCTAAACTACAGTGTCACAGGTATGAATTTAAAACAAGATGTGCTTTCTTAAAGTTACTTACAAGGACCAGTTAACCAGATTCCCCACGACAAGCAACACCATTCTGTCCTGAAAAAGGAGGAAGGAAAACCTTGAAAAACCCTCAGCCTCCATTCCCTCCATTTTTAGGGCCCGGAGCTCCTGTCCAAGCTCTAGTGGGCTAAGGGGTTCCCACAGTCCTGTCTGTAAAAACCCTCCGATTCTAAACTGTTAGCAGCAACCCAGTGAGCTCCTGTGGGCCAGGCCAATGCAGCACCGCCGTTCGGAGTGCGGCTCCGTGTGTAGGTGTCCAGGTCGGGGCAGGGCTGTGGAGGCGCGTGGCTTTCCCGAGGTCGCGGCCGGCGAGTGAAGACACAGCTGCGACCAGGGCCCTGAGTGCCCTGCTCAGTGTGCAAGGGAGTAATGGACCGAACACCGTAGTGGGGAATTTTTTAAAGTTGTATTTCTACCACGAAGCAATAAGCAGTTTTTAAAAAAATACCCTTGCTCATGGTTAAAAAAAAAAGTATAAAAATCAAACGCATGTATAATGTGGATAGTATAAGTTCCTAATGAAGGTGCCTGGAGTGGCCATAGGCCTCAGTTTGCTTGGGACAGTCCGGTTTACCCCTGCCGTCCTGGGGCAGTTATTAATAGCGCCCCCTTTCAGTGACCCAGTGAAACTGCCTTACCTCATTGGCTGGTTATTTATGGGGACACCGGCCACAGCTACGATCACTGTTCAATAGTTTTTTGTACACACACACACACACACACACACACACACACACACACACGTATTTCTTTCTACACTAGCCATCTTTCGTGTTCAAAAACGGTACCATCCCAGCTTGTTTTTTTTATGAACAAGAAGAGAGAGCAACATGCTTCTTCCCCCCAACCGGCCTCGGCCACCCTGGGCCACCTGCCCCTCTGGCCCCGGGGAGCCCGGGTGGCTGCCCTGCCCCTGCCCCCCCTGCGGTGCCCCACTCCCTGGCGCAGGCCGGAGCCCGGGGGCCCACGTACCATGTACAGAGGCCGGCTGCACTGGTGGATGCAGTCCGTGTAGAGCACCATGGCGGCCCGCCGGAACATCCCCGAATCTGCCGACGACACGGTCGCGTGGTAAGGGGGCTCAGTCAGAAATAATCAATAATCAAAATGCTCCTTTAGGGCCCAAGCTTTTGGGGTCAGGATGATGTCGTCTTCACCTACCAAAATGGAGCTTTGCACCAAGGAGGTGCGCGATAAACGTTTGCTTTAAAAGGCAACACACACATGGGCCGCTTTCGTGGAGAATGTGCGGCCCCCGTGGGTCGCACCGCAGAAAGGCCAGCGAGCAGCCCGCGGGCACAGATAACCTGGGCGGCTGGCCAAGCCCGCCACGGTGTCCTTCCGCTGTTTCGCTTTGCTTACAGCTCGCTCCGGTGGTGGGGCCCCTCAAGCCCACCTTAACACACGTGCTCTCTCTAGAGCACGGGAAATCTTAGCTTGTAAAAGTTCTGATCTGTATTACTCAATGTAGTTACGAGTCAGTAAGAATTGAACCAAGGGATACAGGGGGGTTAGTGAACAGGTTCAGAAAACCGAATCCTGTACTGAAGCAATCATCAAAGGAATTTAACTAAGATGGGGAGAGAAAGACAGCAAAGATTTTTAAAAATGCAATTCCTCCAAAGGATGGCATGAAGCACAGTGAGTGTACATGTTACAATTGCCATAGGAACAGAGTCGGTATCACAGGCGGGGCTCTCTCGGACTCGCCCACCAGGCAGACATCCCATGCACAGGGGGCAAGTGTTCATTCAGTGAGAGAGGGTCCCCGCTCTGCTGCGAACGCCACCGCTGGGGCCAATGTAACCAGCCTTGGCTCGACTGTCAGATACACAGGAGAGAAGCAGATGTGGGCATGCCCAGCAGTTGTCCAGAAGAGGGGCGCAGGCTGGGCGGGAGTGGTCCTTGCCTCTGCACCTCGCTCTGGCTTGCCCACCCACCGAGCCTGCCCAGCCTGGAAGGAGGTGTTCAGGGAGCAGAGCTGGCAGGACAACCAGGAGGGCCGCTTGGTTAAGAAAACAATGGAGAACCCTGAGAAGGGCCACTGAACATTACCTGTGTCAGACACATCTGAATCAGTGGAGAGCAGAGGAGAAATGAGAAAAAGAAAGATTTGTAAGCAGGTAGCCAACCAGGTAAACTACTGGTCATTTTACTTTCCTCTCTAAAAGGATGACTTGAACATTATTTTCTGACTGCAAAAGTAGTGTTTGCTCATCATAAAGAACAGAATTTTTCTGTTTATTATTCCTCACGGACAGAGGCAGCCCGTTCCGCCCCTCTGTCTCCTTTCGTGCAGGTTTACGACTTCCAGTCCGTCCTCTCTCACGGGCACTGCCCGTGGTCTTTGCTGCGCTCTGGCAGCACGGCAGTGACCCGGGCAAGCCGTTCTACAGCTTCCTGTCCACTTATGAAATGCCCTGCCTCCCTGCTGCTGCCTTTCCTGTGTCCACCTGGGCTTTCACCTGTGACCTGGGGGCCACAGAGAAAGGGGCGTGTGACCCGAGAAGGTAAAGCTAATTTTTGAAATGGGCAGGCAGGAGCCTGAACCACTCCGTCCACTAACTCAACTTCCTGCCTTTGGACTAAATCTAGATGTGATTCTTTGTCACAATGAAATAGAGAGCTGTCCTTTTGACTCTGGTAAGTCCATAACCACTTGGGGAACACTCCTGGGCAAGGAACTTGAAAATATTCAGTTGAGCTAGACACTGGCTGTCTCCCATCTGCCCTTTCAGACCTACTCGCCACACACCTCTCCGCCCTGCACCGTGCCCGGAAGGCTCACAGTATGGCCGTCAGTGGATTTCCTCCCCCTCCATGGGTGTGGACAACGGGCAGTGCCAGCAGGAAACCTGTGCCCTGCCCTGTCTGCCGACCAAAGGTCGCTGCTCCTTTCGGACTGGCTCTCTCCCCGCCATGCTCTGTTTCCGAGTTTCGGTCACGGCTTCCCGCCCGTCCTTTGGGCCTTGTGGACAGTAAAACTTCTCAGCTACTTGCCCAGGGTTCACTGTGTCATCCCTTTCATTCTTCCCAGCCTCGCCATTGCCTTACGAATAGTTCTTCTGTGAATAAGTTCTTGTCAATCTCTGTGTGACAGCTTTTTTCTATTCGGATCCTGAAAGATATGTTATCTGGTGGTAATGCATTCCATTTCTCCTTTTTAAAATAAAGGCAAACTAAGTCAGCACTGCAAGACTGTAGGTGGTAAAGGAGGTATAAGTGTGGTCAGAGCTCCTCTATGTATGAATGGTCACCCCTACACACACGGTGGTCCCCCTGTTCGCGCTTTTGCTTTCCGCAGTTTCAGTTCCCTGCGGTCAACCGGGGTCTGAACGTATGAAACTGAAAGTCCTAGAAACAAACCGTTTGTGAGTTTTAAACTGTGCACTACACTGAGTAGCATGGTAAGACCTCGAGGGGCCCATGCATCTTCCCCAGGCCGGGACACGTCCTTTGCCCAGCGTCTCCGCTGTGCACCCCGCCTGCTGGTGACTCCATCAGACGCGTCTCGGTGATCAGATGCACCGTCATGGTACATCAGTGCTTGTGTTCAATAACCCTTATTTCACTTCACAGCGGCCCCAAAGCACAAGTGTATTGATGCTGGCAATTAGGATGTGCCGAAGAGAAGGCGTGAAGCGCTTTCTCGAAGTGACAAGGTGAGTATACGGTACAATAAGATATTTTGAGAGCGTGACCTCATTCACATAACTTTTATTACAGTGTTATAATTGTTCTATTTATTATTAGTTATTATTAATCTCTTACCATGCCTAATTTATAAACTTTATCATAGGTATGTATGCATAGGAAAAACAGAGTGTATGCAGGGTTCCATTGCTACCATGGTTCCAGGCACACACCAGGGCAACTGGGACACAGCCCCTGCAGATAAGGGGTGGGGGGCTACCGTATCTGCAGTCAGTGTATCTTTCCAACTCTGGGAGAAGCCAGAACAGCCATGCTTCAACTTACTTTCCTTTTGAAAGTTGGCTTTGTTAGACTGAACTTGCCTCTGGGTCTGGAGGATGGGAAATGACCAGCGCACCAAACCAAATACCCTACACAGCCAGCTAATGATGCTTCCACTGGGGGATTTGGAAGTGCACTGGCTACGTTACTGTCCAGGGCAAACCCACTGACCGTGCCAAGAAGGAACCTAAACTGCCAAAAGAAAAAAAATGTTTTATTCGGTCTCCTACTCTTAAGCCACTTGTTTATATAGAATCACTCTCAGACCTGTGCAAGAAGGGGCTCATATTTTAGAGGCCCTCGTTCCCCCGAGGGTGGAGTCTGCAGGGCAATGGGACTATTCTTTCTCCTTCTAGATCACATTCTGAATTCCTGGGTCCCAGAATTCCCTGCCCATATGGCCTTGAGCCTGCTCTCGGAGTTTGCACAACCCCTTTCCCTGGTCTACCTTCCTGCAGGCAGATGGCACCATTAGAGTATGCACTTGTAGGGGCAAGGAGCGCCCCCTGGGTGTTAAACAAAGGTGTCACATGCACGCCTGTGGGACTCTTGGGATGCAGGACAGAGGTGGAGGTGGGCAGAGAAAAGAGGCAGGGCTGGGAACCAACTCTCCTGTACAGCTATGTTCTGAGGATCCAAGAATTCTAAATTTGAACCTGGACTGTCTAGATTATAACAAAGGCATATTGTATTTATCAATTTGTTGGACTTTCTTCCAGTTTTCCTTCCATGTATTTAATAGTTTCAAGTCTGCTTCATCACTTTTCAGTCTTTATACATATGGTATATAAGCATTTATTTGCAATCTTGCCTTGGGCTCTGCAAATATTAGGAGTAGGGCTATGTTTATATGTAATATTTTTACTTGACATGGAAAAAGCATATGTAAGTCTGACTTCATGCACCTTAAAGTGACTGATGAAGTGTAAACACCCTGAGATGACTTGAACCTGCTCCCATGTATATGCCTGGCCAACAGCAGACCAGACCCTGATTTCTGGAGAACGCAGTGTCCTCCTGCTGTTCGCACGGCCAGAGGGATTTCAGGAGGTGTCTTGCCTCTAGACCTACAAGCTGGTCTCAAAAAGTTCCAGAACCAGAATTTGGAAATAATACATAATTCATTCTTGGAAACCTTTTAGCATGGTTAAAGAAATGTTCCTTTTGAATGCTACAAATTGAAAAATATCCCCTAGGTAGATAGAAGGAGAGATATGGTGATCATACTGTCCCACAAATACGCTTTCTAAGTTTTGTGTGTTGTGAAGTGTTTGGCACCTGGAACTGGAGGTGTGCCTCAGCCCTTGGGTATGGTAAGCTTAGTTTCTCAGGTGGCTGGAACTAGTGATGACAATTTACTGCAATCCAATAGAGGAGAGGCAGCTTTTAGAGAGAATGTATGTTATTAAACACAACACAGAATTCAGAGCATGCATTCACAATGACCAGCGACCCTTCCCTTTAGGATCAGTGAAAACAATGTGTGTTCCCAGTGTGTTTAGTCTGGAGTAATAGGCGACTCACCTATCTTGAAACGACCCATGTAGTAGATCTGGGTGCTGAGGGCCAGGGAGGCAAGTATGTGGATCACAGAGAAGATGAGCCAGAACCACACGTCGTTTTTCCCAAACACCTAGGAGTAAAGCTGGAGGTTACCTTCATCTGGGGTTCTTCCCAGAGAACGTTCTAAAGTCGGCTCTGTCTCGTATCTGCGTAAGGAATCAAAGACTGAGCCGTGCATGCACTTTGGTCCCCTCCCACCCCTTCCCCGAGCTCACAGGGGCCTTACTACACCGGGGCAGGAAAAAGAGTGGCCACCTGGCCAAATAAAAATGAAAACGGGAAGAAATGGGTCGGGCAGCTGAACAACAATGCTGCAGGGGCAGTAGGTTTAAAGTCGGGGGTGCTGCTCTTCCAACAGTCAGCTGCAGACAACTGACATCGTTCATGCAGACTCGGAACGTGGTTTCTAATTTTTTAAGTCAGTCTCTCCAGCCTTGCACGTCCCCATTTCGGTCTCACATGAGTCAAGTCCCAGCTTTACATTAAGACTCTTCACTGATAGTTTGACAGGTGCCAATTACATTATATAAAGTAACTAGCTAAGTAACTAAATAAAATGCCACAAATGGATCAATGATGGCAGTGTCATGAACCAAGGATTATGATTCGTTTAGTTCTGTTCACTTGAACTCCAAGAAACAAACAACAAAAAACCTCTCAAGAGGGTACTTTTCGAAAGGGAGGCTGAGGCTGCGGGCTGGGACGCACCACTCCGAGGACGGTGAGTGTGATGACGAAGGCGAAGGAGGCGTAGGCGGCGTAGGCGCTGGCGTTGATGTCTGGGTGGCGGGTCTGATAGAGCTTCAGCATGCAGAGGCCGGCGATCATGTACATGAAGGACGCGTCTGCGGACCCAGAGGAGGAGCCCAGGCCATCAGGCAACAGTGAGAGCTGTCCGCGGCCTGCAGAACCCCCTCCCTTCAGGCCTTGGAGTATTTGTTGCCCTCAGACTGTGTGGAGACCTCTACCATGGCTGCCCCCCAGGTTCATTCTCTAGGCAAACTCCACACCCTCCACTTCTGAACCCCCTCAAAGCGGTTCCTAATTTACAGAAGAAAATTATCTGATGACATGATAAATAAGCGACTATTCCCGCTTGCAGGGGTATTCGTGTTTGAATGCCAGTGGTCAGCAACAATGACAAGAGAAGCCCTACTCAAAGCAGAGTGACGATGCAATGAGTGTGGGCGGTCCTTCTCGGCATCCTGAGATATAATCACATCGACTGCTGCTCCTGTGTAGCTTTCTAGCCTGGGGATGAAAAACAGCTAGAAATTAAATGTGGCTTAGCTGCAGGAGAGTTGTGGGAAATGCAAATTCAAACAACAGTGTAATATTCCATGTTGCTCAAAAATCTAATATGAAATTTAAATGTATGTCAATAACACATACCAGTGATGACATGGGGAAGTGGGAAATCTCGCACAACTATCAGGGGTGGGAATTAATTCTCTGGAGAGAAACTCATCAGTTTTTTGTAAAATGGAAGACGCATATCTTCCACTGCAGGTGACTCCAAATTCTATTTCCAGGTTTTTCAGGTATTCCAGAAACCTCTCTCACAGGTACACAGAACTACATAGGATGTTCATTACAGTACTGTCTGTAACGGCAAAATATTGGTAACACCTGAAGGCTCTTCAATAGAGGAATTGATAACTGTCGTATATTTTGTACAGAATATGACAATTCCTAAAAATGAATAAACTGATAAAATCCAGCACCCATTTAAGACAAAAACTCTCAACAAAGTGGGATTAGAGGGAACATACCTAAACATAATAAAAGACATATGACAAACCCATTGCCAGCATCGTATTCAATGGGCAAAAACTACAAGTGTTCCCCTGAAGATCGGGAACAAGACAGGGATGTCCACTTCCACCACTCTTATTCAATGCAGTACAGAAAGTCCTAGCCACAGCAATCAGACAAGAAGAAAAAATAAAAGGCATCCAAATTAGAAAGGAAGAAGTAAAACTGTCTTGATTTGCAGATGACATGATTCTATACATAGCAAAACCCAACAATTTCACCAAGAAACTACAATAACTGATAAATGAATTTAGCAAAGAAGCAGGATACAAAATTAACATCCAGAAGTCAGTTGCCTTTCTATTTCCCAATAACGAAATAACAGAAAGGGAAATTAAGAAAAAAATCTCATTTACGGTTGCTTCAAAAAGAATAAAATACCTAGGAATAAACCTAACCAAGGATGTAAAAGACCTGTACTTGGAAAATTATATGGCACTGAAGAAACAAATTAAAGAAGATACAAATAAGTGGAAGTACATACCATGCTCATGGATAGGAAGAATTAACATCATTAGAATGTCTGTACTACCCAAAGCAATCTATGATTCAAAGCAATTCCTATCAAGATTACAATGAGGTATTTCACAGAACTAGAACAAATATTTAAAAAATTTATATGGAAACACAAGAGGCCCTGCATAGCAACAGTGATCCTGATAAAGAAGAACAAAGTTGGAGGAATCACACTATCTAATATGAACCTATATACCACTGAGCCATAGTAATCAAAACAGTATGATACTGGCATGAAAACAGACACATAGATCAATGGGACTGAATAGAGAGCCCAGAAGTAAATCCACTCCTTTATAGTCAATTAATATTTGACAGAGGAAGCAAGCACATACAATGGGGTAAAGAGAGTTTATTCAATAAAAGGTGTTGGGAAAATTGGACAGATACGTGCAGAAAAATTAAACTAGACCATCTTCTTACATCACACACAAGAATAAATTCAAAATTAATTAAAGACTTAAATGTTATCCAAACCATAAAAATCCTAGAAAAAAAACATAGGCAGCAAAAATCTTGGACATTTCTCATGGAAATTTTTTATCACCTATACCTCCCCAGGTGAGAGAAACAAAAGAAAAAATAAACAAATGGGGCCACATCAAACTGAAAAGTGTTTGCATAGCAAAGGAAAATAACAAAATAAAAAGACAACCCACAGAATGGGAGAACATACTCACTGATACACCCGATAAGAGGTTAACGTCCAAAATTTATAAAGAACTTACAAAACTCAACACCATAAAACAAACAAACAAACCAAAAACCCAAACAACTTAATTAAAAAATGGGCAACGGACCTTCTCACTATGGCGAAGAGGTCTTTACTTCTCTAGAGAGAACACACACATGGCCAGTGAACATGAAAAGATGCTCAGTGTCACTAATCGTCAGAGAAATGAACATTAAAACCACAATGAGATATCACCTCACACCTGTCAGAATAGCCATCATCAATAAATCAACAAACAAAAAGTGCTGGCAAGGATTTGGAGAAAAGGGAACCCTTTTGCACTGTTGGTGGGAATGCAGACTGGTGCAGCCACTGTGGAAAGCAGAATGGAGATACCTCAAAAAATTAAAAATGGATTTGCCTTTTGACCCAGTGATCCCACTTCTGGGAATATGTCTGAAGGAACCCAAAGCACTAATTTGAAAGAACATAAGCACCCCTGTGTTCACTGCAGTATTTTTTACAATCACCAAAATATGGAAGCAGCCCAGGTGTCCAGCAGTAGATATGTGAATAAAACAACTATGGGACATTTACACAATAGAATATTACTTGGCCATAAAAAGAAAATTTTACCCTTTGCAACAATGTGGATGGACCCAGAGAACATTTTGCTAAGTGAAATAAGCCAGTCAGAGAAAGACAAATACCATGTGATTTCACTCATATGAACAAACTGAACTAAAAAGCAAAATAAAGACAGACTCATAGATAGAGAGCAAGATGGCAGCTAAGGGGAGGGGGAGGTTAGGATACAGAGAGATTGAGCAGAAAGAAAAAAGGACTCATGGACATGGACCACAGTGTGGTGTCTGTGGGGGAGGAGAGGGCTAAATGGTAATGGGAAAAAATACAATAAAAATGCATGAACTAGCTGTCCTTGATCGATATTGATAAATCTTGAAAACATATTGTTGGATGAGAAAAGAAGGTTGCAGAACACACTGTGGTAAATTAATATCAATTTACTCTAAATGCAGTAAACTATAAAAATGAACTGCGAGAATAAATGCCAATTTAATCATAGTTGTCTCTGGGGAAGGAAAGAGAGGAATAAATTTGGAAAGCAGTTCAAAAAAGAACTTTAACTTTACACAATATTTTATTTATTAAAAAGTAGGTTTAAGGCAAATATTTTCAAATATTGGGTTTTGTTCATTCAGGGTGGTGAGTAATACTGTTCTGTATAGTTTTCCCTATTAAAAGTGTTTTGTAATTTTAAGGAATTAACATGTGACAGAGAATTTCTGTGGTGTTTCAGTTACCAGTCAGAGGCTAGAGCACAAACATAAATATGACCACTTTAAACATCCTTATTCTTGACTGTGCAGGGCGTTGTTAACTGCCCACTCCCAGCATCAGCTCTTCCACCCTCCTCCTTCCTGACAGCATCTCAGTACTAACTCAAATTTCTTAGCCTTTTTTTCAGTTCGGAAACTCACACCCTTGCAGCCAATTTGCTCCAGGAAGGCTAACCCCATCCCTGGTACCAGCAGTGGGTCCCACTGATCTGAAGGTAATGCCGCCTTTGTTGCCACTCAGGCCTGAGCTAAGCAGCACAGAGAATGAGTCTGGGATGAGCTCATGACTGGTTCAGCTATTGAGGTGTGAGGGGGCATCATTTGGGAGCAGTTTAGAAAAGAAGTTTCCTTGCTCTTAAATGAAGGCTCCTGGAAGCCAGCTTGCTGTGTCCTCCAGACAATGTGGAGTGGAGACCGGAAGCCAGACCTGCTGCAGCTCTATTTGCCACTGTGAGTTCCGTGGTAGCCTGAGCATGAAGGCAGCATGTGAGAGGAGGAGCCGGAGCCACTAGTCCTTTCCACCTCCGTAGTTTCAGGTGGTGAGCTGATAAATGTCCTCATTATTTAACTCAATTTGAATTGGCTTTTCTATTGCATGCGTCACAAAGCAATCTAACTGCTGAAGTAGGCCAAGTTACACGGGAGGACCTTTCCAGAAACTTGTTGGTGAGCTCTGTCCAACTTGCTGCCTAATGCTTAGCCCATGGCCCACCTGAAGATCTAGCCATGAGATCGTCTCTCAGTGGTGAGGGTTTTCTAGTCTGAAAAGTGGTCAGAGAGATAAAAAAGGTACACAATGTGAAAACCACGTCCTGTGCTGAGGTGCCCTCCGATCACTCTAGCTCATGTAAAATGTCATTTAATTCTTGCATGTATGACCTTGGCATTTTTGGAAGAGTCCCAGGATCAGATTCCTCTAATTGAAGTCTGTGTAATTAATGTGCATTCTGATTACCAAATTGGAAGTTGGAGTAATTAGGGCAGATGTGGTAACAAGCACTGAGCACTCCTTCCATCATCAGCGCGATGCCCATAGCATAGAAGAGGCCAAAGTGTTTGGGAATCCCATACTCCTGAAAAAGGAGAAAGTCTGGTCAATAGAAAGATACCAGTGAGTGACGTAGCCACAGAACCTAGAAGCCCATGCCTCTGGCCTCAAGCATTATCGTCCATCATTACCATCAGGCCAGATGTCCTTCCCCTTCGCAGACTGCGATAGGCATCATAACCCTTCTTAGCTCCCACTTCCAGTTTCCCCACCCTCTTCTCACTATGGCGAAGAGGTCCTTGGCTTCCAGGGCTCTTCGATGGAGAATGTCCCGGCGCAACACTATCAGCAGGAAGAGGAAGCCCAGGAGCACGTGTCCCACGTTACTGAGAATGTTGTTGAAGGCACTGAAGGAATAAGAAAGAGAGAACATGACAGAGTCAGGCAATCAAAGAGATTTAAAGAATGAATGCACGAATTAGTGAGGGAAGTGAGCATTCGTGTCTTCCACTGCTAGCCTTTTCATAAGATTCCAGGACTGGGAAATCACCAGAGGTCATCTTTAACCTTTCACTTTAGGATGCTTAGTCTGTAAGGTGTTTGTTCCTCTCAGGGTGCCCTGACACCCTCCCATCCTCTCTGGCCCCAATGGCATGGGCACAGAATGAATCCAAAGATGGGCAGTTTGGCCGAGTGTTTTGGCTACACTGTGAGAGGGAATTCTCAAAAATGGACCCATGTAATGTGTCAACACTCAGCTCTGTAGACATGAATTTCAGAAAAAAGCATTAGCTGGTCACAACCCGTGGCTTTAATTCAGGAAACTGAAGCTAGTTCAGTTCTAGAACAAGGAGCAAAGCTCCCTACTTCTAGGCACATGCTCTTTCTGCTTCTGGTGGCTACAGTGTGGTCTTGGGGTCAGCAAGTGTGGGTTCAAGTTCCCACATCATGAATAGCTGAGGGACCTTCAGCAAATCCTCACCTGAGTCTTCTCATCTTCACCTAATAAGGGGGGCAATGATAAGAATGCCACCTTGCTCATGAGCTTGTTTAACGGATTGCACGTGGTAGCAGCTCAGGCCCACGGAAGAATGTCATCACAACTAGGGACCTGATGTTTTCAAAAACATCCCTGTCCTCACCTCGGCTGATTATTCTTGGGAATAATCCAGGGATGAGAGAAGCATACCTAGTCTCACCTTCTTGATTTCATTCCTCTTTATTCACGACTGGGGTGGTTACCCACAGATGTTTTTAGCATTTTTAAAAATCAAAATCACAGCATTACACAGAATGGCATTTCCGAAAGCCTCATGGGGAATCCGCGGACTGCACTTACCTCAGGACACCCAAGGGGTGAGCACAGAGGAAGTTGTAGTAGCAGATGTCCTGGTTTCCAGTGACATTTACCACCTGCAAAATCAAGAGCAAGGAGATGCAGTTTTCCTCCATCCCCTGAGCCAAGCCTGGAATCACAACTCCCAAGCCCTGCTCCCAGTGATGATACACTGTCAGCGATTTAGTGTCTGTCACCAGTACCCCTTCTCATCAGGGCTGGGTCACCATCCTCCACCTTTACACGGCTCAGGCACACTTCCTTCAGGTATTTACTTTTCTTTTTAATTAAATTTATTGGGGTAACACTGGTTAACAAAAGTATACGGTTTCAGGTGCACAAAACTGCTACCATTTTGCTTTGAGTTGAAATATTCTGTCTTCCTCATTATATGGCCTCAAGGTGCAGTTCAACTGAGTATGTTTCCTTTATTCTCATGATAAAAGCAGGCTCACTGGATGTGCCTATTAGGACAGTCATGATGTGTCCTAGTTTCCAGGCGAATGCTGGGAGGAGGGGAAGCTGTCTCATGAGGAATGGCTTCCCATCCTCTGTGGAAATGACTACCACACACAGGCAGACGTGAGGACATGGTGGTCGGTTTCCCACAATCATCGCCATCTCCAGCATTAAGAACCTGCCCAGACCACAGCACACCTATGTCTCCTCACAGGGCCCCGAAGTGTTCGGAGAGTATTTAGATTACAAACTGTGGTATTCAGGCCTCATAAAGTCCTTGTCTGCATCATGCAATCACTATAAAATTGGCCAAATAGTATTGGACTACCGGCTTTCAAACTTGGCTACACACTGGAATCACGGGGAGCTTAATTGATACTGATGCCTAGTTCCACTCTCAGAGATGCTGATCTACTGCTGTGGGGCACAGCTCGGACACCAGGACTTTTAAAAGTTCCCCAGATGATTTTAATCCACAGCAGGGTTTGAGAGCCACTGCGGTAGAAACCCCTTCAGCCTCGTGCTGTTCTGAACGGGCTTCTCATGTGGAATAGATGCCAGAGGTCACTTAAGTGGCCTGGGCCCTTGGGTTCTGTGAAGGGGTGGTAGGGATTCTCGAGCTGTTTCAGTGATTATTTTTGTTTGTTTATTTTATTTTGTTTTCTTTTAACTTAACATTTTATTAATTTTATGAAGCTGTTTTTACTTTCACAAAAAAACACTTCCCCTTAGTGAGAGGACAGAGGCTACATGAGATATCCGGTTTCCTTGTTTCCTTCCGGAACTTTATTTACTTCCCTCATTGCCCCGTGATGGTCAAAAACTCAGACTGGTAAATAATAAACACAACCGATAGATGCTATGACTGAGTGAATGCAAGACTGGTAGACAAAAATAATACAAGTGGTCCCAGATCCCTTTGTGATAAAACAATTGGGAATTAGATTTAAAGGTCAGTCGAAGATAAAATGTTGGAGAAGTCCAATTAGAACCCAAATGGGAAATTAATTTTTGGACCGATCCCAAGTTATACCTTCCTCTGTGCATCACAGCAAAGACCTCTCTGCACAGTGTGAAGGCTCAGGTGGGCCCCAGGGCAGCACTTACTGTCTGGTAGGTGATGACCAGCTGGATCACAGGTAGTGCATAGAACACAGCGATGGTGATGATGTTCCTGTGTGGGCAGAAAGAGCCAGAGGTAGTCATTTCCAACCTGACAATGAAATCTTCATTCACGCTTTTAAGAAGGAATGCTTTCACCCCATAACTCCCCAGTCAACCCACAGAGGCAGTTAGAAACTGATAGTGTGGTTCTCATTTCCCCAGTCCTTTGTAAAACAGTGTAAATAATACCAGCTTCTGGCTTAACCACATTATTAATGAGAACCTATCTCTTAAGGATGCTGTCAGAGTAAAAGTGATCAGAATGTAAGTGATGGGAGATGGATCACATGAAGGGGTGTTGGCTCTCTTCGATTCCTTAGTTCTAAAATGAAGGTCCCACTATGAAATTCCACGTGTTCCCCATTGTCCCTCATCTTCCTCTAATATCTGTATCCGATTAAAGGGGCAAGAATTGAGAAGAGTAAAGAATGGGAAGATCTGTCACAGTGTCAGCCTGGGCGTTCTGAGGGGAAAGAAGGAGGGTCCCTGCCAGGCAGCCCAGCCTCTCAGCTTGAAGGGAGAGGTTGCATGTGGTTCCACGACAAACAGACCATCACAAGTCTATTTGTCATGGGCTGGTAGTATTGTCTCCCAGGGTAGTTTTCAGCTCCTCAGAGATGCTCTAGGCATCTAGTCCCTGCAATCACTGGTTCTTCCAAGAGCAAGGCCTGGTGAGGAGATGAGCAGATGGCTGAGGTTTAGCACGTCTCATGCTAATAGTGGTGACATTGATGTCACTGTTACATAGCTTTCTGGAGGAGGATTTAGTGGGTTTCCTATTCACATGCAAGTCCACTACTTTTCTTATTTTTCCTTTGTATTAAGTTAGGGCCAGTTGCCTTTTATGGTTTCTTTTTATTTTTCCTGTGGAATGTGGCAGGGACCCTTGATACACCTATACCTGCGCCCCACCGAACACTGAAACCTGTGATATAAGTGACACTACCTTATACAATGAAAATTTAAATTTTAATAAAGGTAACTATGGCCCTCCTGGTCATCTACTCACCAGAAATAAATCTTATATTTTTTGCTGACAATTCTCCGATCCTTCCTGGACAAATCTGACAAGTAAAGGAATACCTGGGAAGCAAAAAACAAAGCGAATGCAAAACTGTACTTGTTTTTTTTTTTGTTGCACAAGATACAAAGGAGAGCTCTGCAAATTTCAGTTCAGTCCATTATTAGGGATTAAAATCATTTAACAAGATTTTTCTCTTAATTTTGCTTGTCTCAGGACACCTTAATAAAAACGCTAGTATTTCCCTTGAATATTAAGGATTGGCTGATGTGGAAAGATGAGTGGGAGCCACAGGCTTCTCACATCTCAGGAGCTGGTTTCCCAGTTTTTGGAGATGCCCACGTGGTGGTCTGGGAACAGCAGGACTGAAGCCGTGCACTCACCTTGATCCCCCTTACTGGGTGCGACACAGCATAATAAATATACACCAGAAAGAAAAAAGCTTTACTCCTAAAGGGTGATATCACAGAACCAGAAAGTTTTTCCAGGTCTACCCCTCAATGAGTCTTTTCTTCCATCTGGTTGGATCCCTTCCTCCTTTATTGTCCACAAGCTGTCACTTCAGACCCTGAGGGTGTTTTAATGCTCTCATTTTTTTTTCCTCCAGAAAGAAAAGCTAATTAGAGTACTGCTTTTAGTCTATAGTTATGCTTTACCCAAAAAGCCCTCTGGGAAATGCGACTTCTCCCAAAGAGAAAAAAACAAAGGAAACTAAGGCATTGCCAACGCTGTGTTTAACTGCCACACTTTACGGCCTCTCAGAGAACAACGCCAGGCAGAGGTACCTTGGTCCGGATGACGTTCTTGTCACTCTCAATGTCTGGCATGGTGTCGAAGTCGCTCTCCTCCACGGAGCTGTCCGTGTCTGACTGGCATGGCTGGCCCCGCTCAGGGGAGGACGTCTGCCTGCCGGGACTGGAGCTTGACCCGCCTGAAACAGAGAATGCTCATCTGCCTTCCCAAGCCAAGAAGAACCCGGGGAGTCCATTCTTCTCTGCAAAAACACAGTGCCGACTCACACTTAAAAATGTTAGTAAAAACCAACTCTACTTACAACACAGGAGTGATTACTTTCTTCTCAACTCCTCCTCAATAAACTTTTCATTTACTTCTTCTCCTATTTTTATACTTAAATTGTCTATTTCTAGAGCTGAATACATACTAAGAATAATAACGACATTTGATATTAAGACATCTATTCTGTTCACTATTGGGCTCAAAGATAATATGCTATATTTCATGTTTCATATTTAAAATATGAACATAAATATATACATACAAATGCATATAGTTATGTATCACATCTACCACATGTATGCGTAAGCACACTCATATCCAGCATTCATACGTGGCTTGTGCATGAAGTATTTATACACAGAAATCCCCCACAGGCTGCGTCTAGGGTTACATAATGAATGTTCTCAGGAAGAAGAATCCTTGTGTTCCCGTGAATGTTTCCCAGAGCAGATGGGAATTTGTGCAGCTCGATGAACACACGAGCTGAGCCTACCTTCTGCTTTATTTCTTCTGTTCAGATAGTTAAACAAAAAACAAAACAAAACAGAAAAAATAAGCCCTGCTCTGGCAGAGCCAGAAATAAGTCTCCTGCACTGAGCCCAGATGCTTCTTAAAGTTACAGAATAAGAGGGAAGGAACACAGGATTCCCAGTCCCTCTACGCTGACATTTTGAAGGGGGAATGTCACCATTCACAGGGCCACAAGCATCACGGCAGTGCATGGCAGCAGCAAGGCACTGCTACTCAGAGGGGCTAGGAGGTCTGTTCCTTTCAGGCACCTAATGAACACTGAGGGGGGCCATGTGAGTGACTGGAGGCAGTGAGCAGGTCCAGTCATGAAGTTAGCCAAAAGGAAAGACCGTCAGGCTTTCGCCGTGTGCATGGGCATGTCGGCCTTAGTCTTCTGATCTCCCTCACTCCACTGAAACCTGAGAATAGAACAACTGGTCGACTGAGGTTGGGTTTCCTTACATCGGGCCGTGACACGCCTTTCAGTCCTGACGTCATCAGGCTGGGTATGACAACATCCCCACGGGGGCCTTGGAAGTTGATGGCAACCACTGCAGGGAATTCTGCTCAAGTGTAGCTAGCAGACCCAAGAAATAGAATAACAGAACCGGAGAACATTAAAGGTGGAAGGAACCTTCCAGATCATCAAACCAACTCATCTTGTAAAGACAGTGCAAACTTATGTGGTGACTGCCTTCCCAGTCTCGTAGTTATTAGTGGCTAGAGGACCTGTGTATCCTACTCTCTGGGGAACTAGAAAACACTTCCATGAGCGGGCTTGTAGGAAATACCTATTGCCCCATAATTGCTCCCTTCAGGAGTGCTGGCAGCAATGGGATGGGACACTGCCATCGTTCCAGCGTCTGCAAAAAAGAAAGGCAAAGAGGAGAACAATTTAGTCCAGCTGCTAAAACAAAAGAACACGGCACAACTCTAAGTGGACTGAGTTATCAGGGCACAATATTTTAAATTTGATATTCTTTTCACTCTAATACTGGAGTTACCAAACTATGGCCTGCAAGCCAACTGCCTGCCACCTGATTTTGTATGGCCCTTGAATCAACAATGATTCTTAAACTAGTGGAGGAAAAATCAAGAGAAAAAATAATATTTCATGACAGGTAAAAATTCTGGGAAATTCAAATTCCAGTGTACATACATAAAATTTAATTGAAATATAGTCACACGAATTTGGATATGTCTACGGTGGCTTTGGCTACAATGGCAGTTGAGTGGTTGTGACAGAGGCTACATGGCTGGCATAGCTTAAAATATTCACTATGTGGCATTTCAGAGAAAAGTTCTTGATTCTCGCCTGAGAGCACTGCAGAATCCCAAGAACAAAGGGGCATGGGTCCTGAAATCACTGCGAGGAAGGCCACCACTGAACAAAATCATCAGAAACAAATGTGTGATTAAGGCACTGTCATGTGGAGGTTTATTTGTTATAGCAGCTAGCAGTACCCTCAGTATAGGCAGAAGAAGCCCAGATAGAAAGGAAATTGCTGCACTCCTTGGAGCAATAAATGACAACATGAATTAAAGCTGTGCATGAACATTGGATATTTTGAGAGGTATTCAGGAGGTAGAATACGTATATCTATTGCCAAGTGGTGGTTGTCTATGAGATTAAAAAAAGTCTCTAAAAAGATGCTCCTCAAACTTTTCCAGTGAGGTACTCCTTGTAACAAGGAGAGTGAACTCATTTCTCTGAGAGTCTGGAGGCCATCAGGAGCCACCACACCACAAGCATCAGGGAAAAAGATCTCCCGCCTTTCTCACTCATTGTTAGTCAAGGCATTGTCCCATTAAATTTGTCCATTTGTGAGCGGTAGGCAGAGCTGAGCAGAGAGCAGAAATCACATCTCAGCAGGTATCCAGGCAGTTTCTGGCCCTGATGTGGCACCACCGTTTCCAGCAGCCATGCTCATCTGTGGCGACGCAGGACAATGTTCCTTCAGTGCCTCCTGAGCTTGGCCAAGCATCTGGTATGTTGTGGGGCTGGTGGGAATTTCTTATCAATATTTTCTTTCTGAGAGTTGAAATTGTATGTATTACAATACAGGGAGTTCACTTGTCAGTCTCTTGCAGGGAAATATATTTTCAGTGATGAGACATAACTGAGGATATTCTTTAATATCCTCACTGTAAATGTATTTCTATTTCTTCATTGAAAACACAGTTCATTGTAGTCTATATTAATGGTGCAGTGTGTAACCCTTGTAAAAGAACAAAAAAATCTCAAACTATTCATCGTTCGTCACCGTCAACTCTCTTCATCCAGTTGTTCATTTCCACTGTGGGCAGTAAAAACATTCACAGTTTTGCAAGCCAACTTTATAGGTTTGACATGTTTCTCTTTTCTTTGCCTATTCATTTCATCCATGAAGAAAAATAATTAAATTCCAAGTTCAAAATATTTAGCCAGGTGATGAGACACAAATCTGATGGCCTTGGAGACTCAATTTCCTTCCTCACTTCAATGGCTCAGCTGGACAGCAACACCTTGGGGCTAATGCAGGATTCTTGGCAGGCAAAGCAGAATGCAGACTCCCTGGCACTGTTTCTAGGCTTGGAGATCCTTTGATATATTTCTTATCATTATAAAGAAAATAGATGTTTCCTGGCTATTCTTGAGCTTACAGTAACAGGGATCAGCACCATCTATACCTTTTATCCAACTTCAAGGCATAGAAACAGGTGACTTTTAGACTCTTAAGTATGAAAAATTAGATCTTTTGAGCAAAATAAGAGTGTTATGTGAAGACGATGTGTAGTTTGACTTTTTTGACCTAGGGCAATTTTGGTCATAGTTGCAGCATGGTGCTCTGCTGCTATTTCTGTCGCTGCTGCTATTGACTATAACAAATACTAATACTGCCCTAGTTGGTGTGGCTCAGTTGCTTAGAGTGTAGTCCTGTAGACAGAAACATCATGGGTTTGATTCCTCGTCAGAGCACCCAACCAGGTTGCAGGTGTGATTTCCAGTCCAGGCGTGTGTATGAAGGCAACCAATTGATGTTTCTCTTTCATGTCATTGTTCCTCTCTTTCTCGCTCTCTCCCTTCCCTTCTCTCTAAAAGCAATTAAAAAATGTTCTTGGGTGAGGCTAAAAAATAAATCAATTTTTTAAAAATAAAAAAATAAGTACTAATACTATTATCACCACGACTGCTGCTAATACTGCCATCACTACTATGGGCTAATGGTTACTGGAAACTTCCTGTGTGTCAGACACTCTTTTGAGTTCTTTACAAAATTTTAAAATTTTTAACAACCCTCTGTGGTGGGTACTACCATTATCACCATTTTAAAGACAACAAAAAGGAGTAACTGCAAGATCAGTAATTTGCCCAGAGGGACTCAGATATTGGAGGGATATTGGCTTACCATATCGCTCTCAGTTACAATTTATCTTCTTCATTGAAAAAAATACAAACGTTTTTCTTCAAAATATGAGTGACTCACAGTAAGCATGTTACTTTGGTGGAGTGCTCAAAAATACCTCTCAAAAGAGACAAGGAAGTGGAGGCTCATATACATCTCCATTCCCATGAACTCATATTTTTAAGAAGTATCTAAGCACAACCTTTGCTTTTAATGTTTGTTTTTTTTCAAACTTTGCTTTTTAGATTGGCTGACGTGCTTGCCAGTGATTCCCTATTCAGCCATGCTTGTGTCTTCTGTCTGGTTCATTGCAGGAAGTCACAAAAATCACCATACTGGTCTTATCTCTATGGGTTATCTGTAGGCTTTTATATTTCTATTTCCCCTCAGTCTCACATATTTTTCTATTCAAGCTTAAGCTCCCTATTTTTAACCATTAATGTTTGCCCCTTACTTATAATTTAACTTAAGAAATATTAAATGTGCAAACAGTAATTGAAGAATGACATTAAAATAATAAAACCCAGAATTTTTGGCATTTTGGTGTTACTGGGAAGCCCTCTGACAGGTAAATAGAAGTGTGCACATGAGATGCTTGTGGTCACTTGTGGCAGGAGGTAGAAATGTTTTGTGGGAACCGGTGGTTTTTGTGTGTATGTAATCAAAAGAGAAAAAACACACACACAAACTAAAAGCAAAGCAAGTGAGGGGGAAAACCCACTGTTTTGTGAAGTGACAACTTAATTAGAAAGAAAAAGCCAGTTCAAACTTGGATGTATCACCAACTTCTGCACTCTGCTCTGGCTCATAATTGAGGCTGATGTGCTTTTGATGTGGTCATAGACCCTATCCATTCTGAGGCAACACCAGTGGTTCTGTGATGATGAAGAGCATCAAGATTTTCATGTACAATACAACTGCCATCACATAAATGATTTTACTCTGTAGACTTTTATAGGCACAATTTAAATATAAGATTGATCAACGTTGGATAGTTTTTCTTATGTCTAAGGCTTCTTAGAATGTGAAACCCTAAGGATTTTCTCACAAACTTCAAATATGATCAATGGTCCCAGAAGGCAAGCTATATTTATACTTAATTTTATGGTATTTCAAAAGCAGACTTAAATACAAAAATATTTTTAATATATTTAATTGATTATGCTATTATAGGTGTCCCATTTCTCCCCTCCTTTATTCCCCTCTGCCCTGTACCCCCTTCCCACCATCATTCTTCCACTTTAGTTCATGTCCATGGGTCATACATGTAAGTTCTTTGGCTTCTACATTTCTTATACTATTCTTAACTGCCCCCTGTTTATTTTCTACCTATCAATTATGCTTCTTATTCCTGTACTTTTTCCCCCATTTCTCCCTCCCTGTCCTCACTGATAATTTTCCATATGATCTCCATTTCTGTGGTTCTGTTCCTGTTCTAGTTGTTTGCTTAGTTTGTTTTTTTTAGGATCAGTTGTTGATAGTTGTGAGTTTGTTGTCATTTTACTGTTCATAGTTTTGGTTTTCTTCTTTCTCTTAGATAGGTCCGTTTAACATTTTATATAATAAGGGCTTGGTGATGATGAACTCTTTGAACTTGACCTTATCTGGGAAGCACTTTAACTGCCCGTGCATTCTAAGTGATAGCGTTGCTGGATAGAGTAATCTTGGATGTTGGTCCTTGCCTTTCATGACTGAATACGTTTCCAGCCTCTTCTTGCCTGTAAGGTTTCTTTTGAGAAATCAGCTCATAGTCTTACGGGAACTCCTTTGTAGGTAACTGTCTTCTTTTCTCTTGCTGCTTTTAAGATTCTCTCCTTCTCTTTAATTTTGGGTAATGTGATTATGATGTGCCTCGGTGTGTGCTTCCTTGGGTCCAACTGTTTTTGGACTCTCTGAGCTTCCTGGATTTTCTGGAAGTCTATTTCTTTTGCCAACCTGGGGAAGTTTTCTTTCATTATTTGTTCAAATAAGTTTTCCACTTGTTGCTGTTCCTCTTCCCCTTCAGGTACCCCTGTGATTCAGGTGTTGGAATGTTTAAAGTTGTCCCAAAGGTTCCTAAGACTGTCCTCCTTTTTTTTTTTTATTTTAATTCTTGTTTCTTCATTCTGTTCTGGTTGAATGTTTATTTTTTTCTTCTGTTCCAAACTTGATTTGAGTTCAATTTCCTTCCCATCACTGTTGGTTCCCTGTATATTTTCCTTTATTTCACTTTTCATATAATTGACTTTTTTCTCTATTTTGTGACCATACTCAACCATTTCTGTGAGCATCCCAATTACTAGTGTTTTGAACTGTGGATCTGATAGGTTGGCTATCTCTTCATCACTTAGCTGTATTTTTTTCTGGAGCTTTAATCTGTTTTTTTCATTTGGGTCATATTTTTTTTTAGTTTCACTGTGCCTGTTACATAGTAAGGGGTAGAGCCTTAGGCATTCACCAGGGTCAGGCAACCCACTAGGCTGCATTGTAGTGCAGTCTGTGAGGGAGGGATCTGAGAGGGAACAATGCTGTTTGCTTGGTACTCATTACTTCTGGCTTTCAGTCACTTCCTCTGCTACTCACAAGCAATTTGGGCACTTCTAGTGCTCTATTTCTGGGTGGGTGACTTTGTATACATTCTAGGGCCCTGTGGGTTTCTCCAGCGAACTCTTTTGTGAGCCTGGGAGTTTCTCCCATCTCTGCAATGCCCCACAGGTTTTTTCAGTAAGAGGTTTTTGAGGCTTTATTTACCTACACTGGAACCCTGGGTTGTGAAGCCTGTCTTGCCCCCAGTTTTTCCTCGTGGTTTATCTGCATGCAAATGTGAGACCTTCCATTCTACCAGCTGCTGCCTCACCTAGTCCACCAGCTGACACCTTGTCCACCCAGGTTCTCCAGTGACTGACTTACTGTGCATCCTCTCTGCCCCAGCTGCAAGTCTGCACCCCTCCTACTGGTATGGATGAATGTTTCTTTAACTCCTTGGTTGTTGGACTTCCATACAGCTCTGTTTTTTTTTTTTTTTTTACTTTAAATTTGTTGTCCTTCTTTTGATTGTGTGAGGAGGCACGGTGTATCTACCTACACCTCCATCTTCGCTGGAAGTCTTAAATACAAAAATGTTATTTCATAGGACAGACCAACATGTTCTGGCTGGAAATAAGCACACATATAAGGTTGTGAATGAGCTTATCTAATTGAGGAAATGTGTTCTGGTGTGTTTTTCTCTGAGCACAAACCCCTTGCCATCTGTCTACTTTACTAAATAGAATAGGATATGCTTTCTTGCTTGCTTTCTATGTTAAATATTCTATGTGAGGGGAAAAGCTTCATTTAATTTTGAGCATACTTAGAACTTTCAGAGACTTTATATTTATAACTATCCTGTCTCTTTCTGTCTCTGAACTCAGGATGTTGGAAGATGAAGAGGGAGTCAGAAATAATGTGAACCAGCTGCCATGAAATTCCATTGTTATGCCAGCTGGCTACCTACCCCAACTAATTCCATGTTTTGTTTCAAAAGTTGAGGAGAAAATGAAGACAACCACTAATCTCTGGAGGGAGATATAACATTTCTCTTGAAGAAGAAACTGGGCAGGAAAAGTCAAGGGCATTTGGAAAAAGAAGAGTAGAGAGTCAGGACTAGTATTAGAGACCCATTGCCCCAGAGCCTGGTGATGGCTCCTGCTCCTTGACTCCTCCAAACTCAACGCACTGCTTGTTTTATTCCCTCCCGGACACTGCTCTTTGCTGAGAGGCTAGTTCTATAATGGCTCTTTCCAGGGAAGGATGTGCTTGGCCATTTGGTTCTTAAATATCCAAACTTGACACGTTTTTCAAGCTCTCACAACTGAAAATGTGACCTCTTTCGCTGTACCCCAGGAGACGGTGACAGCTCACACGGCCCCACAGCTTGTGAGGGATGCTTCATTCGTCTCTCTTCTCAGGTGGTAACTGAATTTCCATGCAAAGTATTTAACAATGATGTGAAATGTGGGTTTCTCCACTGGTGGCACCAGTGGAGGAAACTTTTTAGAGCACAGAGCCTTTCCTAGTACTCCTCAGATCACCGCAGAGGACACTGTTTTAAGTACTAAGTGATGAATGGAGAACACACCATTCATACCACACGAAATGTCTGTTGGAGGTCTGAAGAAGCTCTTTACCAACACTATTTCCACTTCACCTGGCTCTAAGGTCTCATCTTTTTCATCCCATGAAATTTAAAATTAATTCTTACTCTTTTTAGAATAGCTGGAGCCAATGTTGACATTTTTTCAAATGCAACTTAAAGAACTGCAGACACACCAAAGAAAAACAAGAACAGAAGAGTCAATGGGTTTTCTTTCCCAAAGCAGCCTTCCTGTCACAACCTAACCAAAACAGAGTGCAATCGGCCCCCAAGGCTTTTCTTGGCCTGTGAGCTTCACTGAACTTCCTGTAACCCCACTGTTACACTCATCTTGGGTAGAGCTTGTCTTTTCTGCTCCTGGTTTTTTTTTTGGTGGTGGTCATTGTTGTTCATCACTATAAGCCTCCCCCATCCCTTTTTATTAAATTTATTGGGCTGACACTGGTTAGAAATATTATACAGGTTTCAGGTGCACAGTTCTACAACACACCATCTATATATAGTATTGTGTGTTTACCACCCCAAGTCAAGTCTCCATCCTCTCTGCTCTTGCTTTAAATCATCTAAATATTTCCCTGGCTGGGTACCTCAATTGGTTATAGCATAATCCCTATACGCCAAGGTTGTAGGTTTGATCCCCTGGCAGAGTACATACAGGAATCAACAAATGAACGCATAAATAAGTGAAACAACAAATCAATGTCTCTCTCTCTCTCTCTCCCTGTGTGGTGAACATTCTTATTTCCTACTCCCTAACTAAGCTGGTATTTTGTTCAGGTATCCTCATCTGTGCCTGGCAGCCCACATATTTAAGTCAAGTGATTCTTATCTGCGGGTAGAGAACTTATTCTGCCCTTAAGATGACATTTGGCAATGTCTAGAGACATTTTAATTGTCAGGGAGGAAGTACACTACTGGGTTCCAGTAGGTAGAGATGAAGGATGCAGTTAGATGTTAAACATCCTGCAATACACATGACAGCCCCAAACGGCTAAGAATCATCTGGCCTGTAATGTCAATTAATGTTGAGTTTCAGGAACCCTGGTCTTAGCAAAAGATGACCTCACTCTAATTCTATAAGTAGGCTTGATGGATCTGTAGATAAACATATTCTTTTGCAGTGACTGGTTTAACAATAAGTATAAAAGTCATTCTAGGCTAATAAAATGAGGTTAAGTTGCTAAGTGCTTCTGAAAAAGTACTTCCCCTGGCCATTTTCAGGTGAGGGTGTACACCTGATCCATGTCACCACCTGCTCTGTGAGCCAAGCAGAGCCAGGGGGATGGAGGGGAAATGACCGGCCACCCGCCTCTGTCAGCCCTGCAGCCCAGCCTTCTGCTCAGCTTCCAGGGAGAGGGGCTTCATTGTGGTTTAGGCGTGGTTGAGATATATTTTCTTGTTACTTGCAGCCTCATAGAACCTAATTGACGCATCTTTATCCTTTCCTTTTTTTTTCTTTTGTTCATTTCTTCTTGCCATCTGAAGGGCTTCTCTAGCTCTTGGCTAGTTTTCAGAGGCTTCTGGATCTTGGACTCAATCATCTGGCTCAAGTCTCAGCTCTGTCCACCTATGTTTCACTATTCAGGAGAGTCTTCTGAATATGGTGTGCCTTTAATTATCATACAATAATAAAATGACCTCACTTGTACAATAAAAATAACAGACTATTTATTCACACAGCATCCAATGGGACCCAACCAATCAGGTTTTCTAAGTTCAGCTAAACCTAAACTAAGAGCAAAACCTGGGAGCACTGGAGAAAAGAAGGTGAGATTCAGAGACAAGACAAATTTATTTAAACATTTTATGAATAAAAGAGAAAGTAGTATTTAGCATTTTAATGACAGTAGAGCAGGTGTCCTTTTACAGTCTTTATATTGGCCGTTGAATGCTATTTTTAAAAAAATCGCCTGGGAGGCTGGAAAAATAGATATGCTGATAGTAAGGAAGACAGAAGTCAAAGGAAGGTAGGAGCAGCAGCAGGGGGAAGAGTTCTTGCTGGGTGGGGTTGGGGCTCAGTTTGTGTCTTTCTAAGATTCCATGAGTTCATTTAAGTGTTGAAAACACAAAACTAAACATCTGCTGCTTGTGACTTAAAAATCAAGCCTCCATTTTTCATTCCTTTTCTAAATGATCACTCTCTGCAAATAGCTTACAAGCACCATATAACTTATGCTGATGTAGGCTTTTCAAAAATGAGGACATATACACAAGGTACAAACTCCAAGTTCTAAAATAAGTTAAGTCTTGAGGATGTAATTAATGTACAGCATGGTGACTATAGTTAATAATACTGTATTTTACATTTGAAAGTTTCTAAGAGAGTAGACATTAAAAGTTCTCATCATAAGGAAAAATATGTGTATTGCATGTGTGGTAATGAATGCTAGCTAGACTTGTGATCATTTTACACAATATACTAATACCAAATCATTATGTTGTATACTTGAAACTTATACAATCTTATATAACTCAATTAAAAAAATAGAAACATTTCATTTGAAAAAAGTTTTGATGAAAAGTTTAGGCAATGAAATTCCTTTGTTCAAGCTGTCAGAGTGGAGGAAAGGGCATGTTACTATGGTTGAATAATCAATTATCCTGGATTTCTCAAAGTTATCATACTCATTATAATATTTGCTAGTCTCAAATATTTCAGTTTTCTAGACACTAACAAAAAGTGTCTCAATTTGGGAAAAGTTAACCCCAGATTAGAGTTAACACAATAAATGTTTAATATTGTTCACAAATCAACTTTCAGATAAGAAACTTAGAAACAATTTACATCCTAGAAAAGATCAAACTTTTTAGAAAGATGAATGCCTGACAAACGGACTTTGGGCAATTGCAAGGGACACCCCAAGCAAAAAGGTTTTCAGTGTGAGTTCCACGTGTCAGTAATTATCCATCATAAAAATTAGTTCTCACTGAGTTCCATTTCAGTACAGAGACTGCAGATTCTACTACTCTGCAAGTTAGGAATTAAGGGAGGGTCTGGAAATTACAAAAGCAGAGACAAAAGAAGTACCGAGTGGGAGTGTTACCATATACATGACACCAATTTGATTTCAAACCAGGGATTTTCTTACCATCAGTGGAACCAAAGCTTCCATCAATGGATTTTCTCTGAAACCTGCAAAAAAAAAAAAAAAACAAAAAACCAAACCCACATATACATGGTCCTAAAGGTAGTGAAAATCTCAGCATTTACCTTTGTCCACTCTAGAATGTATTGCAAATTTGTCTGCTAGAATCTTTTAAAAATAGGCCTTAGGATGTAGAGAAACTGGGACTCTGATACATTGCTAGTAAGATTGTAAAATGCTATAGACACTTAGGCAGACAGTTTGGCAGTTTCTCAAGAAGTTAAACAGAGAGTTACCGTATCATCCAGCAGTCCTACCCCTAGGTATATACATACACACACAAATTCATGAATTTATTCAGAGTCACTTATTTTCAGATAATTCACATACACTTTAATACACAAAATTCAATGAGTTTAGTATGTCCACAAAGTTGTGCAACCACGACCGTTGCCTAATTCCAGAACATTTTCATCACCCCTGAGAGAAATCTCAAACCTATTAGCTGTTCGCCTTCCTCCCAGCCACTGGCAACCACTAGTACCCTTTCTGTCTCTATAAATTTAACCTATTCTAGACATTTTGTATAAATGAAGTTATACTATATGTGGTCTTTTTTTGACTGGCTTTTTTCATTTAGCATAATGTTTTCAAGGTTCATCTATGAATCAATACTTCAGTCATTTTTATGGCTAAATAATATTCCATGGTATGAACATACCATAATCATTTGTTTATACTTGAGGAACATTTTGGTTTTTTCCATCCTTTGGCTGTATGGATAATGCTTCTATGAACATCTGTGTACAGGTTTTTGTGTGAATATATGTATTAAATTCTCTTGGCATATACCTAGGAACAGAAATGCTGGGCATGAAGTAACTCTATATTCAACTTTTTTTTTCCAAACTGTGTTCATAGCAGCATCAAAGCAACTATTTTACATTCCTCCTAGCAATGCAAAAGCTCCAGTTTCTCCACAACTTTACCAATTCTTGACATTTTTCATTAAAATTTTTAAATTATAACCATCCCACTGGACAGAAGTAAAATCTTATTGTAGTTTTAATTTGCATTCAGGGAAATGCAAAATGGCTAATAATACTGAACATTGTTTGTATACTTACTGGCCATTCATGTATCTTCTTTGGAAAAATGTCTATTCAAACCTCTTGCCCATTTTCACCTGGGGTCAGTTTTCTTTTTAGCACTGGGTTGTAAGAATTCTTTGTAGAGTGTGGATACTAGTCTATTACCAAATATATCATTTAAAAACATTTTCTCCAATTTCATGTGTTGTATTTTCACTTCCTTGATAAAATCTTTTTAAAACACTAATTTTTAATTTTGATGAAGTCCAATTTATCTATTTTTCTTTTGTTACTTGTGCTTTTACTGTCATGCCTAAGAAACTATTGCCTAATCCAGGGTCATTCGGATTTATACTTATGCTCTTTTCTGAGAGTTTTACAGATTTAGTTCTTATATTTAAATATTTGATTTATTATGAGTTAATTTTTTAATATGGTATGAGGTAGGGGTACAACTTCATTCTTTTTCTTGCAGATACCCAGTTGTCTCAATACCATTTGTTGAAAAGAATCTCCTTTCTCTATTTAATTGTCTTGGTATCCTTGTCAAAATTGAATGATCATAAATGTAAAAGTTTATTTCTGAACTCTCAGCTGATTTACATCTCTTTCCTTATGTCAGTGCCAGTTCCTTATGTGGCTTTAAGTTTTGCTATCAGGAAGTGTAAGACCTCTAGCTTTGTTATTTTTTTTTTCATGAATGTTTAACCTTTTCTGGGTTCCTTGCACTTCCATATGAATTTTAGGATCAATTTGTCAATTTCTATAAAAAAAAACAACTTGGCCTTTGATTGGGATTGTGTTGAATCTCTAGGTGAAGTTGGGGAGTATTGTCATGAGTTTTATTGCTGCTGTAACAAATTATCACAAACTGAATGGCTTAGATAATATGAATTTTTTATCTTACAGTTCTGTATGTCAGTATTCCAAAATAAGTCTTATGTTGCTAAAATCAAGATCTCACAAGGCTGTATTCCTTCTGGAGGCTCCATGGGAGAATGCATTTCCTGGCCTTTTCCAACTTACAGAGGTGACCTGCATTCCTTGACTCATGGCCCCTTCCTCTGTCTTCAGAGTGCATCACTCTAACCTCTGCTTCCATCATCACATCTCCTCCTGCCTTTGACCTTCTTGCCTCCCTTTTATAAGGACCCTTTGATTACATTAAATCCATATAGATAATCCAGGATAATCTCCATAACTTTATCATATCTGCAAAATCTTTTTCATGTAACATATTCACAGATTCTGGATATTGAGATATGGACATCTTTTGGGATCTATTCTGCTGTGTACTACACCATCTTAACAATATTGTCTTCCCTGCAACTCATTAACATGGGACATCTTTCCATTTGTTTAGATCTTCTGTAATTTCTTTCAAGGATGTATTCTAGTTTTCAATGTAGAAGTCTTATATTTAATTTGTTAAATATATTGTTAAGTATTTTATTATTTTAATGCTATTATAAATGAAACTGTTTTAATTTCATATTTGAATTGTTTATTGCTAGTGTATAGAAGCCCAACTGATTTTTGTATATTGTGCTTGTACTCTCAGTGAACACAGGGCTTTCTTTTTGGAGGTAATGAAAATTAGATAGTGGTGATGGTTGTGCAACTGTGAATATACTAAAAGCCACTGAACTGTATACTTTAAAAGAGTGAATTTTATGGTCTGTGAATTATACCTCAATAAAGTTATTATTTAAAAAAACTATGTATATCATTTGAAACTTTCTATCAAAAATGAAAATGTGAATTACCCTTTTCCCCAAAATGAGCCTCCCTTTTGGATGTGAGGGAGGTTGGAATGGAGGAGGAGAAAGGGTGGGGGCTAGATGCACCTGTGCTTTGGTGTATACTCTTATTTACTTCCAGCTGGAGACTCTAGAAGTTGCACACTGCACACCCCCGATCCTGGTATGTTTGATGGAGGGCTTTCTCTTCATTCCTTTTTTATCCCTAGATACAGAAAATCCATCCCTGCCTCAGGCTTTTGCTCTTTTGCTTGGACCACTCTCTCCCCATATCCTCACATCCCTGGCTCCTTCCTGCTATTCAAATCTTGGCTCTGACAGGTCTTTCTTGCTGAACAAATCAAACCTAAAGTAGCTTCCCCAATTAAATCATTCTCTAGCATATCAGAGTCTTTATTCTTCTCCTGTCACTAGCTGAAATTATTTTCTTTATTAATTGCTTGCTTGCTTCTACATTTCTCTGTACCATATAAGCTCTATTAGAATAGGACTCCAGATTGTCTTTCCCACCACTGTGTCCTTAACCTCTAAGACAGGCCCTGGCACATAGGAAATGTAACTAAGTGTTTGTTGAATGAAAAATGCACGTATCATAAAGAAGAGCACTTATAATTTGGTCTAACTATTCTAGTTTGCCAATGAGACTTTAGTGAAGTCTGTTTTTAGAACAATTTTAGTGATATTAACTGGCAAACAATTATTTGGCCTCATAGAAGATGCTATGTTTGGACTGTGTGTTTGTATTAACAAGCTTTACTCACAATTGCCCCAGGTTTTGGAGCAGATAAAATTTTTCATTAGAGGAGTTCTATGATTTACAAAGCTGGGGTGAGGCAAGCAGTATCCAGGGAGCAAAGGAAAAAAACATAAATGAGAACTGTGCTAGAGCAGAGTCTGTATCTTTAGTTCTTGAATCTGGACTGGCCTCATGACTTGTTTTGACCAACAGAATGAGGGGGAAGTAATACCGTGCCACTTCTGAGACTATATCTTAAGGAGGCCCTTTTCTCACTTGTAGATGCAATAAACCATGGCTGGCCTGTGGAAGGAGAGACCAAGGGCAGCCGAAGGTGGTCTGGAGAGCCAGCTTCCAGAAGACCTGACAGCTGGTTGCATTCTATGACCACATTCAGCTGAGACCTCTGAGCCCAGTCCAGCTGGCCCATAGATTTGTGAGCCAACTTAAATATTTGTTGATGTATGCCACTGAAGTTTTTGTGCTTAAATTTTTTATAATGTATTTTATTAATTATGCCATTACAGTTGTCCCCTTCCCACCCCCTTCATTCCCTTCCACCCTGCACACCCTCTTCTGCCCACATTCCCCCCCCTTTAGTTCCTGTCCATGTGTCATAAGTTCTTTAGCTTCTACATTTCCCACACTACTCTTGCCCTCCCCCTGTCTATTTTCTCCCCACGGTCTTTGCTCCTTATTCTCTGTACTTTCTCCCTCTTCTCCTCCTCTCACTCCCCTGTTGCTAACCCTCCATGTGATCATTTCTGTGGCTCTGCTCCTGATCTAGCTGTCTGCTTAGTTTGCTTTTGTTTTAGGTGTGGTTCTTAATAACTGTGAGTTTGCTGTCCTTTCACTGTTCATATTTTTAATCTTCTTTTTCTTAGATAAGTCCCTTTAACATTTCATATAATAAGGGCTTGGTGATGATGAACTTCTTGAGCTTGACCTTATCTGAGAAGCACTTTATCTGCCCTTCCATTCTAAACAAAAGCTTTGCTCGATAGAGCAATCTTGGATGTAGGTCCTTGCCTTTCATGACTTGGAATACCTCTTTCCAGCCCCTTCTTGCCTGTAAGGTTTCTTTTGAAAAATCAGCTGATAGTCTGATGGGACTGACTCCTATGAAGGCGTCTGACTCCTTCATAGGTAACTATCTCCTTATCTCTTGCTGCTTCTAGGATTCTCTCCTTCATTTTACTCTTGGGTAATGTAATGATGATGTGCCTCCTCCTTGGTGTGTACCTCCTTGGGTCCACCTTCTTTGGGACTTTCTGATCTTTCTGGACTTCCCGAAGTCTATTTCCTTTGCCAGATTGGGGAAATTCTCCTTTATTATTTGTTCAAATAAGTTTTCCACTGATGGCTGTTCCTCTTCCCCTTCTGGTACCCCTACAGTTCGGATGTTGGAATGTTTAAAGATGTCCTGCAGGTTCCTAAGCCTCTCCTCATTTTTTTTGAAT